GCCGCAAGCTCCACGTCCTTCTCCTCCAAGCTTCGCCGAAGTTGCTCTTTGGCTTCTTCCAGTTCCTTCTTGCATGCCGCCAGTTCCACGTCCTTCTCCTCCAACATTCGCTGCAGTACCTCCTCGTCTTCTTCGAATTCCTCCTCACTGCTTGCTTCTCCCGCCACATGGGTTTCCTCATAAGACTTGTCGTAACCATTCCACAGGGAAATCCCTCGAGGAATCTTCACGCCGTATCTGGACCAACGAAAGCGATCGTAGGTCCACTTGTTCTTGAATGATAGAGGTCTGACCTCCTCCACCATCATGCAGTGGCCGAGCCGGTTCACGAAGACGGTGAATCTGTTTCTTTCCAGTGCTTTGAGGTCATTCAGCGCCTCTCTCAACATGTCTCCCTCGAGGATATCGTCATACACTTGGAGAGCGTCGTAGTAGGTTGGTCGAGCAGCATGCAAGCGAGCGTGGACTCGAGCAGCGCCGCAACGGCGGCAGGCTTCGTCGTCAGAGAGGCGTGTTGTGCGGACAATCTCGACGATTCTGCCACCAAACGAACCACCGAAGTTGTTCCAGTACCTGGTCACGTAAAGGTATTCGCCGCACACGGAAGGCGAAACGAATTCCCTGTCGGACAATTTGAAAACTGACATCCTGATCCTGATGATGATGTTTTGGTATAGAAGGGAAGGAAACTCGATTCGATAGAATTTGTTGGGTGATATGGAAAATTGGCTACTTATAGGTAGGGGTGGCTATACGGTCCGGTCCGGTTAAATTGGCCCAAATTGATCCGGTCCAGTCCGGTTTTTTTGAAAATATAAGGACCGAAGATTGGATTGGATACAGTCCAGTCTTGATCCGGTCCGGTCTTGACCCGGTCCGGTCCCAATTCGGTCTTGGTTTTATATTGAGATTGTGAGAATTTGAGTAGCCTAAGGCCTAAAAGGGTGAGGAGTTGGTTAAGTTTTGTACTAAGTGCAAAGGTTTGTGACCGTTTATGCAAATTACCCTTAAGTTTTGTATGTTGAGCTCTCTTATCCGGTCTTTATCCGGTTTTTTACCTCAAATCTAAGCCCAAAGATTGGATTGGATTGTTTACTATCCGGTCCCGATCCGGTCTCGGTCCGGGTTATACGGTCCGGTTTCCGGTTTTTCATCCGGTCCCGGTCCAAATAGCCACCCCTACTTATAGGGGGTGAAACCTTGTAATTGTAACGGTCAGCCAACGTAAGGGCAGAACAAAGGTACACTTTAATTGCACAGTCAAAACGCCGAGTCCCAATTGGTATACATATCGAACTCTTCGTAATTCCATTCGCATTTAATATCGCAACAAACGAAGTGGTGAATGTGGGGAAGGTTAACTAGCCATTGAAAGACACCTTTGACGCGTAACTAGATCTGACAAATTACGATTTACGAACCAGCCTGTTGACCCGACCTGAATCCAAATGAAAAATTGAAATTTTTTATAACCCGAAATCCAAATGACCTGAATTCGATTAATTTGTATGTCAACCCTTTAGACCCGTTTCATTTCATATGTCATTCCCAAACTGATATATAAAATCACTGATAAATTAGTGTGATGTTTAAAAAAATTCACAATGATTTTAAAGACATGTTTGGAATCAAAGGATAATCAAATATCAACGGTTTCTTATAGTATTATATATTACTCTTATGATTGTTTTTTAACGATCTGTGCAATTTGTATTTTATTTCATTAGCATAGAAGGATTCGAGAATATGTTAATTGACATGTGTTAGATAAATTATTATCATGCATATGTGAAGATTTGTATTCTTTAAAAAAATATGAAGCATGTTTGATATTGTTTCTGAGAGCGCTCATAACCTGAAATGACCTGTAACCAGACCGTAAACCCAACGAGTAGAGTCAATATTTGACCTGAAATTGACCAACCCCAACATGAACCTACCCATACCCTAAAGGCCCAACTCAAAATTACCCAACCCAACCCAATTGACAGGATTCATGTCACCATTACTGAAAACATAAACAGAAACAGATGCATCATTACATAAGAGCAAACAATTGTAATGGAGGAGCTTGTCACTCCGCGTTCTAATGATCATGATCATGAGCCTTCAATTTCAAAGCAAGAAGTTGGTTCGTCAGCCCGACAACCTTCTCCTTCTCTTCCACTAACTTGCTCAACGCCGACTCCATCTTCCTGCTCCACTCCAGTTCCTTCTTGCATGCAGCCAATTCCATGGTCTTCTCCTCCAGTTCCTTCTTGTAAGCCGTCAGTTCCTCCTTGCATGCCACTAGCTCCACGTTCTTCTCCTCCAGTTCCTTCTTGCACGCCGTCAATTCCATGCCCTTCTCCTCCAGTTCCTTCTTGCACGCCACCAGCATGGTAACATGCGGAGGTGACTTCACCCCGTATTTGGACCAATCAAAGTGATAGTCGATCCGCTGGAACTCATAATATGAAGACGCTCTAGTGATTATACGGAAGCCGAGACGATTCACAAAAGCACAACATCTTCTATCCCCTTCTTCTACTGCTCTTAGATCCTTCGCTAGCTCTTGGAATTCGTCTCCCTCAACGGTGGTGCCAAAGACTTCTAGTGCCACGTATTCATGGTCCGGCCCAACGAAGACATAATAATCACTCAAAGACAAGAAGCATGCTTCTCCGACAGCCTTGATATCATTCATGTCACCATTGTAGCTGAACGCTACAATAAGTTCGTCACCAAGTGCGCAGATGAATTTATCATCGGACTTCAAGCTGAAGACTGTCGACATTCTGACGGTTGGAACAGTAGGTTCGACCGTCCACAGAGTTCTGCTATGATGTTTTTGTGAATAAACAGCATGAATCCTGTTCATGGCAGCCACCCTTTATATATTTTTTCCAATTGTGATGCTTCAGTAGACGAAAGGACGCCATAATGAACGTGCGAGGCAGATATATCGATCTCTTTGTAATTTCGATTTTCATGCATTCAATGGACTGACAAAATAGGGGCACGGAAGCGCTCTGTTATGTCTCTTCATAAATAATTTTATTGAACGGTGTGATAAATTTATCGTCGGACTTCAAGCGGAACACCGTCGACGACGTTCCGGCGGTTAGAATAGTAACTGCGTATCCAGAAATTCTATATAGGGGTGTCCTCTTTAAAAATTAAATTAAATTAAATATTAAAATTAAATTAAATAATTATTAAATATGAAAAATCTGACTAATAAAAGTTACATTAAAAGTTTAGACATGTTTCGTAAAATGGTAAAATACATTCGGTGTCTATACTGCTCAACAATGATCTTTCGACATATCCTACTAGAAAAGGGTATCCAGTAATTGGGTTTAATCATTAGGTTTTAAAAATAATTTGGGATAAGAATAACATTTTACTATTATATTTGGATCTAGAACACAATAACAAATGAGTTGTAGTGTAATTGAAAATATGTTTACTAATAGTGACAGTGTCTCAAGTTTAAATCACATAAACTACTACCTAAATATTATTTGTACTAATACGCAAACTACTATGGGAGGTTGGATAATCGTTTTCCCGAATTTTAAGGGTGTCCCATTACCACTTAAACATTTTTTTTCCTCATATACAAACTATTATCGAAGGTTGAATAATCGTGTTTCCAAATATTAGGGGTGTCCCGGGACACCCCTAGACATGCATGTATCCGCCCCTGACTCCGATAAAGAAACACAAGCTTAGGGTTTCTGACTCTCTGTAGGTCTATCAAAAAAAGCTACTAAGCCCTACCCACCCGCATCTACTACTGGGCCCAACTAAAATTAATAAGCCCACGATCTTGTACCAACGGGGCGAAGGAATATTGAGCCCAACTTCGAGCCCATTGAAACAATAGTAACAAGAGGCCCAAACATACCGCATCATTCACCCCCCACGGCCTCACGTTCAAGACCAATGAAAGCCGGCCGCGTGTAAAACCCGCCAGTTTGATCGAAATGGTTCCGCCGCGGGAAAATTCTGTGTCAATTTTCACTGTTTGGTCAGCCACACGCCGGGTGGGAAACCGGCGAACGACGGCGGCAATCATGTCGAGAAAGCATCGCGTACACAACGGGAACCCCAGCTTCTCTCTCTCTCTCTCTCTCAAGCGCCTCCCCAACATCATCATAGTCGATGTCAAGTAAATCAAATTCCTCCTCGCGAAATTAAATTCTTTTTTATTATTATTTGGGGTTTCGGGACTTTTGATCAAAATCAGGGTAGTTCCACTTCGGATTGTACCTCTTCAAAAACTCACAATGGCGTGGTTCCATGGTAGCTTGATCTAATGTTTTGATTCCGTCTGTCTTTCATTTATATGTTGAAACCTACTGGGTTTTTCACTTTTGTGCGACCTGTGATCGATTTTGGAGAATGAGGAAGTGGAGGGCTCATCAATGCAGCGTGAGAGTTCAAAATTTTTACAGTGATTCTGTTGTTGTGGGGATTTAAAAAAGAGGGCAAAGGTTCATAAAGCTTTTAGCTTTACTAAATTGAAGTGTGTAAACATAGATCAATGTAAACTAACACAGAAACTTCTTGCAGTAGGCGGGTAGAACAGAATGTCCGCCTAGCTTGAAGAAAGATTCACCTCGGATCGGGGCCAAGTGATTCACATGTTACTGACATCCATAAATTTTCCTTAGAACATATTGGTTTCATGGTGGTCCTAACTTCAGTAGTTCAGCAACTGGGATGTTTATTACATGGAGCATTAGCCTGTTAGCCAGGACAAAATAGGCAAGGCAACTTCGTTTATTGCTTTCTACTGGTTGTAGTGCTTTCAGTTCTTCATTTGCTGCTAGGAGAAAAGTACCATATTCTTTTGCAGGTCTAAGGCCCGACATGTCTCAGAAGGCTGGCAAATTATCTGCATGCTCACTCATAAATGACCATGAGAGAGGGAAGGATGACAAAGGAAAACTACATAGAATTTGGTTATCTATATCTTACACATCCTGACAGGTAACATAGTAATTCTTGTTCTATCTGTAAGGAGAAGTCCCGCCTTGAGTCTTAACCAAAGAATAGTATATACCATGTAAAGCAATGAGATTCCTGTGTGAACCTTCTTCTGCAATTTTGCCTTTGTTGATCACAGCTACGGTGTCTGCCTTCTGTATTGTGGCTAATCTATGAGCAACCACAACACATGTCCTTTCAACCATCATCTTTTCCAGTGCTTCCTGGACAAGGTTCTCCGACATGCTATCGAGTGCACTTGTCGCTTCATCCAGAAGCAGGATTGCCGGGTCCTTCAGGATTGCTCGCGCCAATGCTATTCTTTGCTTCTGGCCTCCTGAAAGCTGTACTCCTCTCTCTCCACAGTAGGTATCATACCCTTGTTTTAGGGAGCTGCATATGTATAGAGCATAAACATCAGCATTATGGGGAAAACATATTAGTATCTGCAAAAGCATCAAGATGAGAAGACACTAATTTAAGGCTTAGTAAATTGAGTTTTGGCTTCAAAAGTACCTGATGAACTGATGAGCATTGGCCCGGATTGCAGCCCTTCTGATCTCAGCTTCTGTGGCGCTGTCATTGCCATGAGCAATGTTATCGCGGATTGTTCCAGCAAAAAGAGTCGGTTCTTGGCTCACTAATGCAATGTAAGATCTCAACTTCCTCAAGTTGTAGCTCCTGATGTCACGTCCATCTATCAGTAAGGTCCCACCTTGTGGATCGTAAAATCTTTCGATAAGTGCAAGAACTGTTGACTTTCCTGAACCACTTGGACCTACAAGAGCTATTGTCTTCCCGGCTTCAATCTTCAGGCTTAGCCCTCTGAAGATTGGTTGATCTGGTCTTGTTTGGTAAGTAAAGAATATCTTGTCAAGCTCAATTTTGCCATTGATTGGTTTCCTCAGTTTTATCCCCTTTGGATCAACTGGGTCTATCTCAGTTTTTCTGTCCAGGATTTCAAACACCGATCTAATGGCACTGCCTCCTTTGGCGATATCAGAACTCATGCTCCCTGCATCAGCAATATTCTTACCAGTACTCATCAGTAGAAAAAATGCCTGGAAGAGGTGTTTAGGCTTTATCAATCCTTCATTCAACAGCTTCCCTCCGTACCAGTAAGTTAAAGCCATAGCTGCTGTGGTCAGGAATTGTGAACTACATAACCCAATACCTGAAAACCATGATTGTTTCACAATTTCCTTCTTGGGTCCTTCCATCGTTTGTGCAAACAAAGTTAATATCCTCCTTTGAGATGAAAAGGCAGTTATAGTTCTGTGATTGATGATTGATTCACTTGCTAACTGACTTCCCACTCGCTGTTCTGCACGTGCTTTTGCGGACAATGTCTTCATCAGCACACTTCTGGAGTAGAAACTTCCAATGATTAGTGGTTGTATTGAGATAATGACAATTGCTAGTCTCCATGTGACTATCAGGCTGACGATAAAGGCAATGGTAGCACTGAAGGAGATCTGAATCAGAAGTGACATCCGATCTCCAATTAAGGACCGAACCAGCTGTGCTTCATTGGCTAGCCGAGTACAAATGGCAGCACTTGTGTTGTGTTCTTGATCAAACCAATCGATCTCGAAGGTGAACATCTTCTCTACCATTTTCTCGCGTACCCTTTTCACCAATTTCTCACCCATGATTGCGAAGTTGTAATGCTGGATGATGTTGAAAGTGAAGCTGAGAACTGCAAAGCTTAAAAAGAGAAAGCAGTAGGTTATGATCTCTGACTTTATATTTTCTTCAGAGAAGTATACTGACAGAACTGATCCTAGACAATATGCATGAGCTGGTTGAATTGCTCCAACTGTGGCAGCTCCTAGGCAGCCAAGAAACCCTCTCCGCCATTCTGGAGCATTCATTTTCAGCAGCCTCCACTGTGATGACGATGAGGATGATGATGCCTTGCTGTTGTTGTCATTTTGGTGATAGGAATGTGTGTGGAGTGGAGGTTCAATGTTGATCGAGAAAACTGGGCTGAAGGAAGATGGGCTGCCGTGACATCCAGATCTTCCAGCACTAACGGGAGTTTGTGGAGGATGATATTTAGGGCTCCGATGGGTTCTGTTTGGTACATTTGGGCCTACTGCTGAATTCTTATCTACTGATTGCTGCAATCTCAACATTTTGGTATAAGCTCCTCCTTTCCCATTGTCCAAGTCAACGAGTTCGTCATGGCTTCCTGATTCAACTATCTCCCCAGATTGAAGAACAACTATCATGTCAGCATTTCTTACAGTTGACAGGCGATGAGCAACAATGATTGTCGTCCTGCCCACCGAGGCTTTATCAAGGGCAGTTTGGACCACCCTTTCAGATTCTGCATCCAATGCACTTGTGGCTTCATCTAGAAGGAGAATCTTTGGATTTCTGATCAGTGCTCTTGCTATAGCAATCCTTTGCTTTTGCCCTCCTGATAACTGAAAACCAAATTGCCCCACCTGAAACAATAAAGTAAGTGAGAGAAACATATCAGCAAACTTTTTGTTAAAACATGTCACTTTCCTTATCAATGAAGGAGCAAAAGCAGTATGTCATATTTACTTGTGTTTGGTATCCATTGGGTAACTTCTTGATGAAGTCATGTATGTTTGCAGCCATGGCAGCTCTTTCAACATGTTTCGTGGAAGCTTCCTCGTTGCCGAACAGAATGTTCTCTTGAATGGTTGTTGCAAACAGAATTGGCTCTTGATTTACCAGCCCCATTTGGGATCTCAACCATCCAGGATGAAGTTTCTTTATGTCATGGCCATCAAGCAATATGTTGCCTTTGACAGGATCATAGAACCTCTCCAGCAGAGCAACGACAGTCGACTTTCCTGACCCACTCCCTCCAACAAGCGCCACTGTTTCTCCATGACGAATTCGAAGGCTGAATTCACGGAGAACAAGAGATTCTGGTCTAGATGGATAGCTGAAATGAACATCCTTGAAATAAATGCTCCCTTTAATACGTGACAGGACCTTCTTCTCGTCATCTTCAGAGTCTATACCTGGGACCCTATCGACCATTTCATTGACCCTTGAAGCAGCCAAAACTGCCTGTGAGATGAATGAAAGATTGGGTAGCGCATTCATGATGGACCTGGAATCGCAAGAACATTCAAAAGAGCATTGATAACTGAGAAAGAAAGGAAGTAACTTATTGACAATACAAGCGAAGGAAAATAGAGGAAACTCACACTCCTCCAATGATGACACAGGCTCCCGAGACGAAAACAGCACCACCCTTTTGGCCCCTTTCAGTGACCAGATAACTTCCAACCCAAGCTTGGAAAGCCCAAGCTCCATATACCATCCCCATGCTTCCAATCAGAACCCCTTTAGTCAACCCTTGCTTGATCCCAATCTCCATGCTCCTGTGAAGTGCGTTACTGAATCTCCCCAGCGTTTGAGCCTCCCCTACATAGGAGTAGACGACCCGGATCGATGAGATTGCTTGCTCAGCAATCGTACCACCCATTTCATATGCTTCTTTGGATTTCCCTGCAAGTTTAACCAGCAGCTTTCCAAACCCCAGTCCAGGGGCAATAAACAAGATGGCGAATGGCAAGGCTGATATAGCCAGTTCCCATGAGAGCAAGAACGAGACCAGGATGCTGGCGATGAATGATGTGAGATGAGCCAGACAGTTTGGTATCTAGAAACACAGAAGGAGAAGAAAATAAACTCTCAAGCTACTTCGCATACATGAAGGAAAAACATATAGCAGAGTGTTATTAGGTGGAGAGTGAAGAAAATGAACCTTCTCAGCTATGGTGTCCTGGATTACATGAGCATCAGAAGAAATGACAGAGATGACTTGGAAAGTGCTACACGAAGCAGACTCTCCGTCGAAGAAACCAACTTCCTGTCTCAGCACTGCTTTAAGGTACTCCAACCTCATTCTAGATGTCTGCCTCTCGGATGTTCTTGTCCAACACAGTCCTTCCAAGAAAGCTGATGCACCAACTAGAATTGCGAGGAAGAGCAATCTCAAAGCATACTGTTTTTTTGCATAAGATCATCATCGTCACAAGAAAATGCATTCAGCAATGATCATTCTGTTTCTGGATAGGTAAATTTTAATTAGACAAAATTGCAGTGGTTTCCCATACCTTCTCGACGGTCTTGTTTGAACCATTCAACTGAGACCCGCCATAGTTGTTGATGACATCGCTTAGAATGTACATGGTAAGTGGAGTCATGGATCCATCCCCGATGCTCCCCAGAGTTCCAGCAACCATCCACACCATGTCTATCCAATCCGCATACCGGAAAAGCCCACCTTTGCCATTTCCCTTCATCGCTGTCTCTCTGTCTGTCTCTCTGTGATGATTGATTTCACCTGAGAAACACAATTGGAGCCATGTCTACAGTAGTGTTAATAGACAAAGAAGCGTCCGAAGAAGAACGGCTGAAGTGGGAAGAAGCTCCATTTCTTGTTGATTTTCTTATATAAACGAGGAGGGAAGTGCAAAGAAGATTTTTGTTCTGTCAATTTCTATTGGGTGGAAGTATTTCATTCGAAGCCGGCAATGCCTTTTGGAGGGTACAAGGTCGTTATTACAGTGTCAATATCGAACAGAAGGATATTGACGATTTCTTTTGGGTCACTTTCATGGCGGAAACTGCAATGTCTGGCCGTCGGACTGAGATGTCTATCATTTTGTCTATCATTTTTCTTCTTTCAGTCAGCTTCCCTTCGAATTTAACTGGAAATGGTGCCCCCTGGTGTGATGTCTGGATGATTATATTATTTTATTATTACTTGCGTCGGCAGGTGTACCATGGCGAAGGAAGGAGCTCGCCGGCGGGGAGAACCACCGGCGACAACACAATCCACGGGTTGTCGTATTTACGGCGACGCAGCGGCCAGGTTCGTTTCCCTCTGTTCTCCTCTCTTCTCTTCTAAACCCATTTCTCTATCCTGCCTTCTGAATTTCAATGTTCTGCTCTTCAACATCAGCAACAACGACAATGGTTTTGAATTTTTGCACTAGAATGTTGCTGCTGCCTGTAAAGTGTAGATCTTTTTACTTGATCAGTTTTTATCTGATGGTGCAGCAGGTTGTGAATTCACATATGCATTGTGGACTTTACATCAGGTGTTGAATTTCTTCATTTTAGAGGAATCAATTGGCTGATGATAATTTTTGTTAATTTGTAGAGGCTGAGAAGTGCTCCTATTAAGTGCTTGATTAAGACTTAAGAGGAAACAATAGCTTCAATGTTACGATTGCAGCTGTGATTGAGCCATGGTAAGTGTTTCAGCTCTTGGATTGGGGAGAAATCGAGTTCAAGTTTGCTGGTTTTTTGTGTTAGTTGGTTCTTAGATTCCTGGTCAAGTTCCAAACAAAAGCTGTAAATTTGTAAATTGCTTGATTCTGGAACTTCTTGGGCTGGTTGGACTTGGTCACTCAGTCTGTAGTCTGTACTCAAAGCTCAGCAGTCCTGGAACATAGCGCTTGTATTCAGTTAACAGATAAAAGAGTGATAACTGGAGGAAGGTCACTAGTAGATCCTTTTTAGGATAGTTTCGAGTACAAATGGCGCTTCGTCTCAGTCGTTATCGTCAATTCATCAGCAGTTCCACCATATGATTCAGCATATATCTAAAATCAGGATTCGGTTGATGTCCTCTTCTTGAGTTACTTCTGTTTGTTTGCTTGTCAAGCTCATTGGACGGCATCTAACTTATTTTTGTACTTTCTTTTGCAGTTACAGGAGTGATAACTGTCAGAAATGCTATTTTCTTCTTTGTGTGCAGCTCGATCTGCCAGATGGTGAGAAACCAGCCAATCTATCAGCAGTTCCACCACGAAGGTTTCCCAAACATATTCATCAAAGGGCTCAAAATCCCTTCCTTCATTTCTTGGAATCCCTACAATTCTATTGGTTATGTTGATCTGCAGCAAAGCCTTGACAAAGTGGATTCTTCCAGCAGGTTTCGAAGTTCGAACACCTTGAGGACCTCCATAAGATGAAGTCAATATGTTCTGCTGCTGAGGTTCTTCTCCCTTGCAAATGTTATAGGAAGTGCACCATAAGTTCACAGTACAGCAGAATAAGCAAGAGTTAGTGACAAACATACAAACAAACATGATTGGGCTCCTTAATATTTCGTTCGAAGTTATTACCTACGATATCTGTATACATGTGATGAACAACTTGGAAAATGATGGGATCGTATTCGTATGTTATCTGTCCCCTTTGGCCTGGAATTTCATCATATGATGATGTAAAGATTGGAATTCAAGCTAATCACTTTGTTCATGTTCTTGGTTATGAATGAAGGCAAGTCAATTTAGTGTTTTAAACTTTTAATTACCGCGGGAAGGAAAATATTGAGCCCGCACATCGGGCCCATAAAAATAACAGGGCCGCGCGGCCCAAACATGACCGTATCATTCGCCACAGCTTGAACCAATGAAACCTCGCCACGTGTATCACCCAGCCTCTTTGATCGAAATGGTTCCGCCGCGGAAATATCTCTGCCACTTTCCATTGTTTGGTCAGCTCCGCCGGGTGGGAAATCGGCGATCAACGGCAGCGGGAGTTCCAGCTACTACTACGGAAGCCATGTCTCGAGGCATCTCGTACATAACGGGGACCCAGCTTGTCTCTCTGAAGCGCCTTCCCAACATCGCCATAATCGATGTCAGGTAAATCAATTCTTCGCGACTACAGTAATCAAATTACTGTGCATTTTGGTTGATGATTTTGGTGGTTTGGAATTTGGAAGGGACGAAGAGAGGAGCTACGATGGACATATAGCGGGATCGCTTCACTACGCCAGCGGTAGCTTCGGCGATAGGATCTCTAATCTTGTTCAGGAGGTCAAAGGGAAAGACACCCTCGTCTTCCATTGCGCGCTCAGCCAGGTCTGTTTTTTTCTGATCAAGCAAAGGTTTTCCCCCCCAATTCTCGATCAGGTTTTTCGTACTTTGATCGAAATCGGGGCAGTTACTCTTTAAATTATAGCTCTTCAGCTCACAACTGCATGATTCCATGGATTGGTCTAGTGTTTCATTGCATCTGTAGCCATTTATCAGATGAATTCTAGTGGGATTTTGTACCATCTGTGATAGATTTTTGGAAGAGAATCCGTGAGTGCAGTGCGAGTGTTAGTATTTGAGGGTGTGGGTAGTTTAATGGAGAGAGAGAGAGAGCATGATTGATTCACTTGACTGCATATACCTTATCTTGGTCAATTTGGGAATGCTGTGAACTTGAACTTTGGTGGGAGGATCAATGGAAATGTCAGTAAGAAGAAGAGGGCAGAGGTTGAAAAAGCTTTTGGCCTTACTAACTTGTATTGAGCTGAGTTAGATCTATGTAGATCAACACAGAAACTTGTTGCATCAGGTTGGTAGTATATCAGAGTAACCTATACGAAGCTTCAGGAAAGATCTGCCCTTTGGCCAAGTTATTGATGCCAAAGAGGTCCACAGACATTATGTTAAGAATCCACTTAGTAATCAGAGAGATATATAGGCATGTTCCTTAATCCTGTGGCCACATGTCTCCGCAAAGTGGAGCTCATGTCCAGAAACAAGCAAAACTTAGGCTTTGTTGATGACAAGAAGATCAAATTACCAATGACCACATTTCTGAAACATTAACTAAGAACAAGTGTGTCCATTGTTTGCAGGTTCGAGGACCAACATGTGCAAAAAGGCTGGCAAATTATCTAGATGAGCTGAAAGAAGATGTAGGAATAAAAAACGTGATGGTGTTAGATCGCGGCTTCAATGGCTGGGAAGCTGCTGGTAAACCTGTCTGTCGCTGCACCGATGTTCCCTGCAAAGCTGGATGTCAGTGATTGAATCATCAACAACTCTACAAGTTCACAATCCAGGTCCCTGCTAAAGAAGCAACTCAATCGTACTACCATTGCCTTCCCTCTAATGTGGTCTAGATGACTAAACATCATCATTAACTCTATTTTAGCATTTTGGTTATTGTTATGATGATCCAAAATGCTGTCTGCAGTGCATATTCTGATAAACAGAAAAACTAGGAAAGATCTGTCAAATCCTGGATCTCCTTTACACACGTTTGTAAACACTAAACAGGGTATGTCTGGTTTCCGGCATTGGATTGCCTCGAATTGTTACACAATATGGTTGTATTTGCTGATGTTTTATATGGATGAGCTTGAATCATTTTTCTTAGCTTGTGATGTTCATCTTATGCCGGAAGTTGTAGTTGAGTAGTATACTGAATTGGTGCACTAAAATCAAATTGGTGCAGGACTAGATAAGTAATGAAAAGAAAGATTGAGGAGTAGAACTGGGAGAAAATAAAATATGGGACCGTTTGTCTATTTACCAAAATTTGAGTTAAAACGACGTCGTAAGTTTGGCCTAAGCTTACCCGCCTCTAAATCTAATTGGCGGAAAGCGGTCATCAATTCGCGGCTTCTTCCCTCCTTGGTGACTTCCGGTTTCAGTTTCAGACTTTGTTCCACAGACTTTCTATTTCTTGGCAGAGCCCTTCTGAATTCTCGAGGGAAAAAGATCTTAACTTCCGGATCTTTGGACTCGCCTCCACACCACAGTTATCTGTTTTTCAATTTCCTCAACAAAGGGTTCATTCGTGAAAGGAGAAGCAGAAGGAGAAAAGATGGTAAGCGTCTGACCTAATCTAAGGTTTCTGTTTGAGCCTAGAATGTACTAGGCGGTTGTGAGGCTCCGATCTGGACTCTCTCGCCTGATCTCCTCGGGAGTGGAAGAACCTGTGAGGCGGGGGGCGGCCCCCGGGATCTACGCTCCGACGCCCAAGTTAGTACGATATAATAGGCGGTTTATGGTATGTAGAGAGAGAGGGTTTAGAGAGAGACCTTATGGTAAGAGTGTGGGAAGGGAAGAAGAGGCCTCTCTAGCTTGGAGGGTTAGGCCTCCTTATATAGGGTGTGGGCTTCCTTGAGTGGGCTTGGGCCCAGGACGCTGTGGGCTTGGGCCCGTTTATAGTCGTGTTAGGCATATTAATCCATATCCCAACAATTGCCCCTTTACTTCTTGTATTCTGTAAGAATGGAAGGAGTAATATAATGCGTTAATCGTGTATTAATTTGCCTTACTTGCGGATCCGGATGATGCGGTTTGCCCCTTGTGTGAGTTGCGTGACCATTTCTTTTGCCCCTTGCTTATCTTTCGATGTCTTGAACTAAAGCTCTCAAGTCGTTAAGAGTTCCTTCGCTAGTCCATTGTTGTTACCGCTAGTAGACCATAATTGCGACCTAGGTAGGGTGGCCCCCACGGCTTGAGAGCTTTAACTCAAGACGCTCTTGTTTAGTGTTTCTTCGGCTTACTGGGGTGTGCTTCTGCTTCGCTTCTGGAGAAGCGCATTGTTTCTTCGCTTCCAAGGAAACGCATTAGTCCTTCGGCTTCTTGGGAAGTGCATCGCTCCTTCGGCTTCCTGGGAAGCGCTTTAGTCCTCAATTTCCTGGAAAGCGCATTAATCATTGGCTTTCTGGGAAGTGCATTGCTCCTTCGCTTCATGGGAAGCGCATTGCTCCTTAGGCTTCCTTGGAAGCGCCTCGCTCCTTCGCTTCTTGGGAAGCATATCGCTCCTTCGGCTTCCTCGACACGCATCGCTCCTGGGCTTCCTGAGAAGCGCATTTCTCCTCGGCTTCCTAAGAAGCGCATCACTCCCCGGCTTTCTGGGAAGCGCTTCGCTACTCGGCTTCCTGGGAAGCGCATCGCTCCTCGGCTTTCTGGGAAGCGCGTCGCTCCTCGGCCTCCTGGGAAGCGCGTCGCTCCTCGGCTTCTTGGGAAGCGCATTGCTTCTCGGCTTCCTGGGAAGCGCATCGCTCCTCGGCTTTCTGAGAAGCGCGTCGCTCCTCGGCCTCCTGGGAAGCGCGTCGCTCCTCGGCTTCCTGGGAAGCGCATTGCTTCTTCGCTTCTAGAGAAGCGCGTCGCTCCTCGGCTTCGTGAGAAGCGCATCACTCCTCGTCTTCCTGGGAAGCGCATCGCTCCTCGGCTTCCTGGGGAGCGCATTGCTCCTTCGCTTCCTGGTAAGCACGTCACTCCTCGGCTTCCTGGGAAGCGCTCCGCTCCTCGGCTTCCTGGGAAGCGCATCGCTCCTCGGCTTCCTGGGAAGCGCGTCACTCCTCGGCTTCCTGGGAAGCGCATCTCTTCTTTGGCTTTCTGGGAAGCGCTTTGCTCCTCAGACTTCCTGGGAAGCGCATTTCTTCTTTGGCTTTCTGGGAAGCGCTTTGCTCCTCAGACTTCCTGGGAAGCGCATTGCGTCCTCGGCTTCCTGGGAAGCGCATCGCTCCTCGGCTTCCTGGGGAGCGCATCGCTCCTTCGCTTCATGGGAAGCGCGTTGCTCCTCATCTTCCTGGGAAGCGCATCTCTTCTTTGGCTTTCTGGGAAGCGCATTGCGTCCTCCGCTTCCTGAGAAGCGCATCGCTCCTCGGCTTCATGGGAAGCGCATTGCGTCCTTGGCTTCCTGAGAAGCGCATCGCTCCTCGGCTTCCTGGGAAGCGCATATCTCCTTTGGCTTTCTGGGAAGCGGTTTACTCACTCGGCTTCCTGAGAAGGAAGCGCATCGCTCCTTCGCTTTATGGGAAGTGTTCCCTAGAGGGAGAATCGCTCGGAGGCGGGAAAGCATTCCATAAAGGGAACATGGCTCGGAGGCGGGAAGCATTACTCGTGGGGAGCCTCGCCTAGAGGCGGTTTTCGAGCCTTTCTCGGAGGCGGAAGGCATGAATCAATCACCGAAGGGTGCACCGCTCGGAGGCGGTTTTTTAGCCTTGCTAAGGGTGCATCGCTCGGAGACGGTTTTCTAGCCTTGCCCGAAGGCGGAAGACATGAATTAATCCCCCAAGGGTGCATCGCTCGGCGGCGGGAAGAATTTCCGAGAGGGAGCATCGCACGGAGGCAGTAAGCATTCTCCGGAGAGAGCATCGCTCGGAGGCGGGAATCTTCGAGCCTAACCCGGAGGCAGGAGGCGTGAGTCTTCAAGTATCCGAAAAAGATGCAAGTGGCTAAGGCCCAATATATTTAAAGTATAAATATAGCATAGACAGCGTCTAGCACAATAATAAGAATTAATCGCTTTGCACAAGATATATCTTTCTAAAATTGACTTAGCTTGTGAGACGCTGGAGAACGCTTGACTATTGGCTGCTGCATTGTTGATCAGCAATGCGTCTTGTAGCATACTGGTTGGCGTGGATATCTCTGAGCGAGAGGTCGGCGGTTCGAAGCCAGATTGGGGCGTTCTTCTTTCTTTTTTAATTATAGTCCTGGTTGGGCTGTCTAAAGCTGCCGGGCGGGCCTTCGATGGCTGTTCTCAATGGGAGGCGGCCCATTTGGGATTCAATGACGAGACTCGGGCCGCGTTGCACAATTGAGGGTGGTGGAGCTGGCTGACCTCGAGGCGGGCTCTGATTGGAGGCGGCCCATGCTTTTCGAATTCGAAGCGGGCCGAGACTTTGCCGTCTTGATGATGTGGCGGGCTTTGACAGCGTGGCTTGGACAGGGAGGCGGCCCATGTTGTCGAATTGGGACCGGCTTGGGAGGCCAAATGCGAAGCGGGCCGAGACTTTGCGGTCTTGATGATGTGGCGGGCTTGGACAGGGAGGCTTGGACAGGGAGGCGGCCCATGTTGACGAATTGGGACCGGCTTGGGAGGCCAAATGCGAAGCGGGCCGAGACTTTGCGGTCTTGATGATGTGGACAGGGAGGCGGCCCATGTTGACGAATTGGGACCGCCTTGGGAGGCCAAATGCGAAGCGGGCCGAGACTTTGCGGTCTTTTGTGGCATACTAGTCAACGTGCTTCAATGATGATGGCATGGGCCTGATTTCGATCGAAACTGGGCCTGATTGCGGGGAAACGCGCGGGCCTTGGAAGCGAGCCGCATTTGACGAAGTGGACGGGAAGCGGTTCTCAAGTCAGGGGCGGTCTTTGCTATGCGGAAATGGGCTGAATAAGGTGGGCCGCGTTGTGACGCAATCGGGCTTGGAGGTGGCCCCACACAGAATGCTGTCCTGACTTGGTGTGTGCCGGACGAGGAGAAGTCCGGGATGGCCGAATGGTGAGATGGGCTGGTTATTGACTGGCGGGCCCATGTTTACATATGCGTCTGTCTTCGTGGCAGTTCTTCCGATCATTCTTAGGAGCGTCCTTCTTCATGGGCGCTCTCTTCTTGCAGTTCGTGCTCATGAGCGTTCTTCCTCTTGCGCGTTCCTCACCAGACACCAGGCGTCTTGGACAGTAGGATGGAAGGCTTCGGTAGACATTTTAATGGCTGGGCATTATTTCTCTGAGGCGTTGGTTGCCTACGCTCGTTGCTTCAATTATTCTACTTCGCGTCGTCTTCATAGGGGCGCCATGCTTTTGGATCGGAAAGCCTTTCTCTTCTTTCAGAATGGTCTTTGAATTCGCGCCTCTGCTTCCGGGTTCCTTCTCGTTCTTAAGCTTCACACCAATGCGTTAACATGTCTCACTTCTCGATGCTGGTTGGCGGTTGGGTGCGCCTTCCTTGCTCCTTCGCTTAAGTTTCGGAGTTGGACGCCTTTGTTTTCTTCTTCCTCCTTCGGCGGTTCTGTTGAACTGTGCTTTCCATTTGCCTCGGGAACTACGCTTGCCTCGGGAGTCGGGAAAGTCGTATGCTTGCTCCTCCAAAAAGAGAGAGAGAGAGAGCCGTTGTCAGTGACTTTTGGGGAAGAGTGGGAGAAGACGTGATCGTGACTTGTGATGAGACTGAAAGGTCTCTTTCTGCTCCCTCGTCTGAGCTCCGGTGTCAAATCACCGTCGGCGATCGAAATAGTTACTGGCGGTGGTGGTACAAAGGTTGTGGACGTCGCGGTGGAGTGGTTGATGCTGAGGACGCATACATTGCTGGACCCATCTTTTTCTCTGATTCTTTTCGCAGCTCTCTTTGGATTTGGGCAAGATCCTTTTGTAATTTTGGCCGAATTTTGCCGCTTCTGCAGCTTTCTTCCTTGTTCTTTTCCGGCCGAGTTGGTGATGGCGAGCTTCGCCGGCAGTGGTGACCGGTGAACATGGTGGGCTGTGCTGGCGCAATATTGATTGCTGTTGCCGCTTCTACCTTGCTTCTTTCTTCTTTATCTTATTTTGATTCCCATCGCTGCACGATTGCTTCTCCTCTTCCTTGGGACGAAGCTTCTTTCTTTTGCTCCTGTGACTTTCTCGCGGGTCGCTGCCGTTACTTGTACTTGAACAAGGATCAATTTCTTCCCCCTCAGAAATCAAACGAAGTGAATACCAGAATCTAGCCCCACGGTGGGCGCCAAATTGTTTGAGCCTAGAATGTACTAGGCGGTTGTGAGGCTCCGATCTGGACTCTCTCGCCTGATCTCCTCGGGAGTGGAAGAACCTGTGAGGCGGGGGGCGGCCCCCGGGATCTACGCTCCGACGCCCAAGTTAGTACGATATAATAGGCGGTTTATGGTATGTAGAGAGAGAGGGTTTAGAGAGAGACCTTATGGTAAGAGTGTGGGAAGGGAAGAAGAGGCCTCTCTAGCTTGGAGGGTTAGGCCTCCTTATATAGGGTGTGGGCTTCCTTGAGTGGGCTTGGGCCCAGGACGCTGTGGGTTTGGGCCCGTTTATAGTCGTGTTAGGCATATTAATCCATATCCCAACAGTTTCCATTCCCCACATTTGTGGATTCGAATTCGATCTCAATTGTGCTTTACCAAATCAGGTCTGCGTAATGTGCTTGTTGCCTCTCTTCCTCGTTCCGATCGTTAATTTGCTGCCGCTGCTCTTCGATTTGATCATGGTAAGGATATTCACACGTTGAATATCCCTTTATTCTAATTATGGATCGGATAGAGGGAGTCGCCGGAGTTGATTGTTTGATTGGTTTTTTGCGGGATTTTGTTTTGTGGTAGGCGAAAATCTATGCGATGTTCGGATGGGAGTACAGGAAGCCGGAGAGGGCTCCTCCGGCGTGCCCTTATAAGCCTGCTGCCAGAAAGGACGATGGTAGCAATGTAAGTTCAAACAAGCTGATTTGCTCTCTATTGCAGCTCAATTCACTCTCAGATAGTAAGTATCGAATTAAACAAACTTGGAGGTTCTCTGTGTATTGAGTTGAATTGGATTGGATGATACCTTGGACAGTTCTCTTAGCTTCTTGTTTTGAAAGGTTTATATAGTTCAGCAAGTGTCGTATGGGAATTGTTGAAACCTGTATCATTTCTATGAACTTTTCTATTGCTTCAGTTAGTTTTATGGCCTGAGTTTCGGTAATTGGTACTGCCCGCGTAATCTTTGAACTTGTACATGATTTAAATGAGCGGGGTTGTTGGTTTTCCCATCAAAGTTTATGCCTTGATGAAGAAATGTTGAAGATGGGGCTTGACAAAACTGCAGGGGAAGCAGAACACGGATCATTTCAAGCAATGCTCTTTTCATGATTTATCGGCCTTTGATACCTTTTTTTTTATAGAATCGGCCTTTAATACCTTTGTGACTGTGATTTCACATGTTTCTGTGATGATAGCTGTCTGTTGTGAACCCCCTATCTTATTTCCTTTGCCCTGGAGTTCACCATGCTATGAAGCGGTGGTATTGTTTCTGGTTTGTTCACTGAAACTGAAGTCATGGGTTGATTGTGTTGTGGCACAGGTTTTGATAGAAAGCTTACCTGGGGATCACCCACCTGTTCAGAAACCTGTGGAAGTAGGAAATGGGAAGGAGGACTAATACTTATAGACAACTTCAGACGAACTCTCCATCTCTCTCTCAAGAAGGATCACCAACACCTACGGGAAGAAAAACTAGTGCTATGAGGTTCCTTGTACTTTTGTCATCGTCATAACGAGGTAAATGTTGTGTAATTGAGAATACTCGAGACTCCTGAAATGACACAAATTGTTTGCTGTTGTTTGTGTAAATGGGTATACCTCAAATTTCTGAAATGGAAAATTCTGCTGCTGTTTCTGTAATTTGAGTGAACTGTGAAATGCAGGCATATATTATTAAGATGATTGGAAGCTGGTAAACATTTACAGAACTTGTTACGTTAGCCCAGGTCATTCAATTTCCATGGTACAACAGAAAGGACTAAGCTTAAGTTCTCTTATGTTTTGTTTGTTAGAAACAATGATAAATTGTTGCTGTTCATTTTGTTCTCTACTTCTGCTTGTCGATCAACTTTAAGAACAAGTTCCGTGCACTGAGCTGGAATCCATGTATGAACCATATTGTTTCATTAATCCTTAGCAGCTCTCCTATAGATTTAGCTATTGATTGAATGAAGTCCTCCCTTTAGATACCAAGCTCTGATCTACAGGTTTTTTACTGTCTTATTTTACAATCACTGGTTTTAATCCAGCCGAAGTTCCTTGCTGACCACCTACTGGGCCAAGACCTACACCAGTTGATTGCTACTCTCTATATAGAATCCTTTATTCACTATTAGGTTATTTTGAAGCTGTCAAATCGGGGAGCTCAATTAGTACGATATTGTCCGCTTTGGGCAAAGCCCGCACGGTTTTACTCTTGGGTGTCCTCCCCAAAAGGCCTCGTACTAATTGGGCTAGGTGGACACTAATATACAAGGGTTCCTTCCCTTGTATTTCCGATGTGGTACTTGGATTGTCCCACAACAATCCTCCCCTCAAGACAAGGACCGCGAATTTCGTGTCCTCACCTCAGCGATTATCTTGATCCGCCAGACACCTTGTATCGATGGGCTTCTCGTTACAAGGATTTTTCCAGATGCAGAACTATCTTTGATCGGCTTTCCAGACGCGGACCTCCCTTGATCCGCATAGCCCAAACGTGGATATCTCCTGGATCCACCAAACCAGACGCAAATCGCAAATCCTGAGGCCACCAAACGAGGGTCCACCGAACTGACGTCCACCGCCCCGGATCCGCCAAACCAGGCTCTGATACCACTTGTCATAACCGGGCTGCTCAATTAGTACGATATTGTCCGCTTTGGGCCAAGCCCGCACGGATTTACTTTTGGGTGTCCTCCCCAAAAGGCCTCGTACTTGGATTGTCCCATAACAATCCTCCCCTCAAGACAAGGACCACGAACTTCGTGTCCTCACCTCAGCGATTATCTTGATCCGCCAGACACCTTGTATCGATGGGCTTCTCGGTACAAGGACTTTACCAGACGCAGAACTCTCTTTGATTTGCTTCCCAAACGCGGAACTCTCTTTGATCCGACAAGCCCAAACGTGGATCTCTCCTGGATCCACCAAACAGACGCGAATCTCAAATCCCGAGGCCACCGAATGAGGGTCCCACCAAACTGACGTCCACCGTCCCGCACCGAACCAGGCTCTGATACCACTTGTCAAATCGGGCCGCTCAATTAGTACGATATTGTCCGCTTTGGGCAAAGCCCGCACGGTTTTACTCTTGGGTGTCCTCCCCAAAAGGCCTCGTACTAATGAGCTTGATGGACACTAATATACAAGGGTTCCTTCCCTTGTATTTCCGATGTGGTACTTGGATTGTACCTTAACAGAAGCTTTTAGAAACCGTGGTTTTGGCTTAATTAATTAGCATGTTTCTTACTATTAGCAGTCGCTTTCTCTTGGCCATTTGTTATATATTTCCCACACCATATACCGCCACCGGCCAAAACAAGAACCTACCTGTCCAAAGCACAACCCATTCATTTCTTTATTCATTACTTGACCACGACTGATATGGCTGCTTTTGTTTATATAGGCTTTTCTAGTTCTTCTTGTATGACTCATATAGGCTGCCTGCGATGTTGTCTGTCTGCTTTAGAAAAGAAGAAGATATTTTACTCGTACTGGTTGGTTCGGTTTAACACGATGTGGTAAACATACCCACCATTGATCGTGGATTATAACCGGTCGGCTAAGGATATTACCAAACCATATTTGGACCGGATCATAAACGTTTATGGAATCGAGTCATGAGTTAACACTTAGAGTAAAAGGAGGGTTATGGGTCCTCCTAATTGGGTAATGGTTCAACCAATTAAGCCAAACCAAAACGTGAGTGATGGTGTCATAAGGTGGCGTCATGGTGGGATCAACATCAACCTTTCTCACAAACACACAAGAGTGTTAGTTCACATTATCAATCAATAATGTAATGATATGTTAACTAACTAGTAGTGGGTAACCTTTAATTCCATCAAATGGAAAGAAACCTTATAGTTGGGAATCAATCACTACCATCCCCCCCACTATTGCTATGTTCTCAATCTCAATTTATGTTAAATATTTTCTGGAGAATCAACCAGCGAAGAATATAGAAAAACCTACAAAGTCTATTATATTATGTAGAGGCGCTGGAAACCTAAAAATTGGAAACAGATAATCAGTAGTACTCACCAAAACGCTAAAAATATTGTCATTCCTATACATCTAACTTAGTTACGACCAGTCATTTAGCATTTCATACAACTACTCGTGATGAAGAGCAAGGCTTAGCCATTATTATCAGCCACGCATGGATACTCTGGTAATATACCAAAATGAATGTGTTAGACTCTAATCCAGACTCGATAAAATCATCTAACATGTAAGTTTGTGAAGAATTCAGGTTAATCCAATGGTAACGACAAGTGGATAAAAAGATATAGGAGAAGACTATGTTTGGCGACATCATCAAGTTCCAACTCATTGGATGAGACTTGACAGCAAATTCAGCTACATTACATTGGGATGACCTAAACAACCACCTACAATCTAACTGCAACAGACTTTCCACAAATAAGTTTTAAGAAAAAGGTCATGCATACATCATCGTTTGCAATAAACAAGTCCATAAAGCTTCACATATCTTAAAAAAACACACAATTCTGGCATAAATTGAAGCGCTGATATACACGTTACTCGTGAGGATTATGGTTTCATATAGTAGTAGTGTAATACATATGAAATAAAACCTATTTGATTTTGAGATTTGATTTGAAATCAAACGTCTATTATCGACTAACGATACTCTAAATAACACGATAAGTTTGAGATGTTGAGTTGCTACTTGCTAGTAAGATGAACTCCCAAACCATGAGTTTGGATATTATCAAGGTTGTCAACCCGCGGGTTGACCCGGACCCGGTCTAGCTAGTGGGTCAAGGGTTAATGGGTCAACCGTTTTAGCCCGGTTTGGCCCGGAAATATAGAAAGACTCATTATATTGTACTTATCCTCATAAATTATATAAAATCTTATCTAACATATGAGTTATAACATATAATATTACACCAAAATAACATATCATACTTAAATCCAACATATAGTGAAAATTCACACACTTATATAACATAAATATTCAAATGTTCAACTTAGTATTCCAAAGATTGAGTTAGGCGAAAAGAAAAATTGGAAAATAGGCACATTTCGCAAACTAAAGAAAAAAATGACACAATTTGACATCCAACCCGGTACCTTATAGCGGTTGGCCCGGCGGGTGCGTGCGGCCCGTTTTTCTCACTGGGTCAGGTTCAAATTGGGTCGACCCGTGGGTCAACCCGCGGGTTGACAACCTTGGATATTATACATTCTTGTGGTACCACTTGGCAATTGATTACTATTGTCTCTCTCAAACATAGCCAAAATTGCAAGTTGTCACATAGAAAAATGAAGCCTTCTATATAAATGCAAGGCCGGGCAAGAAACTTCATATGCTTCAAACAGCTGGACCACTAAACCCTACACTTGCTCACTCTCCCCACTTTATTGCAAAAAACCCTAAAAATAAACAAAGTCTAACCCACAAAAACTAAACGTGCTATCCCAATCCTAATCCAGTAAGGAAACACTAAACTAAAAAAAATATTATAATTTGGAAGAAAACAAAGTGAGAGATCCCCACCACCACCATCACAAACACCGTATGATTCCCACCATAACCTAACCCTAAACAAAAGAAAGGTCCTTCAAGATTCTCCATGTGCCATGGTGCTATTTAGTTCAAACTCCACATTAGATTCCTTTTTCCCAAGTCTTTCTTTATGTCTCTTACCAGCTTCTTGGATGAAACCAGTGCTTTTGTTAGGTTAACAAGAAGAGTTGACTAAGTGGGTTGCATGTGCCAACGCACTGTTCATTTAGATTTGACGATTATGAATCATTTGTATGATTTCGTGAAGATACAATTGGGTTTTGTATAATTCCTCATAGATCGACATAAAGGTAACAACTCATTTGATAAGAATTCATTCTCATATATAGTTATCAAGTCGTCAAAACTGATTGTTTCGATGTTGATAAATGCATAGCATATTCGTATATATATATCCTTGTAATTAAGGAGAGTGATATAAAATTATTAATCTTCTCTCAACAACTTGAGTTATTAGGACCAAATAGTTTATGACGTGATATTAGATCTAATTCGAGCAACTCGAGTTATAAGATTTATAAGTAACATTTTCTCAAAAACTCCAGTTATTTGTATCAAATATGGGTTATCACAATTGTTGATCATTAACATCAACTAAACACTGTCATGTTTCTGAAGTTGAACAAGTTCAATCCCACTCTAACCGATCTAGCCATGAACTAAACATGTATACATTGGTCTCACAAACAACTTGACAAATGGAGAGTCGAGAGACAGACAAGAAGGCAGACAGCAACGTTGTTTTATTGATTGATTAATGATTCTTGAATCTTGAAGGCTCCGTCACTTGAAGATAAGCACGTGACCTGGACCATCGCCCACTTAATCACACACGTGACGATGGCTCACTGTAGCAGCCTCCAGTCTCCACCTTCTACCGTCGGCGGTCGGCCACCGTCCCACTCACCGAGTCGCCGTCCGAGTCTGCGCGAGATATTGAGTCCCGAATTAATACGATAATTGGGCTCGTCGAGTATGGCAGTTATCGGGCTCCAACTTCTCCGTAACCGAGATGGAAAAAGGGTACGATCTGTGAACTGTGAAGACTGAAGTGGGAACCAACCCCAGGACCAGGAAGGAACCTTTTTACCTAACCCGCAGACCTGATAAAACAATGAACCCGTCGAAATTGACCAGTCAATTCTGGTTCTGACCCAATCCATATTATATGACCCTATCCCTTTAACTCACTAGACATTATAACTCAAACTCGCGATGCGATTACGATTCGATCTCAATATAAGACAATCACCTTCAAAACAAAGATAAGACGCTCGAAGCAAGTTTGACAAATCCATCTATATATAAAAATGGTCAGCAAAACTCACTTTGGTCATCCAACACTTTAAGAGATCGATTTTATTTACCTCTTAAATACTACTCTTCGTCTTTCTCACAAACATCTCAGAGATAGTTTCTTGTGCCATAAATCTCGGAGATAGTTTCTTGTACCATAACTATTGAGCCGAGTTTTAACACATTCTGGAGGAATTTATGATATGATTGCTGAATAAATTTTGTGATCTATGACTTGTTGAAAAAGAGGCTCCTGCTATTGAGAAAGTTCACATGTGATCTATTGATAAAAAGTAACTATACAATTTCATTAATCAAGTCAACGATTCTTTTTCCATTCCATCCTCGCTTGTGAAAAGAGACCATATCTAGCTATCATGTTTGTTTCCACCGAATCTATTCACATTTCGATAGAGATGTTGGGCCAAAAGGGATCACCCTCTAAATCAAGGCCCATGAGTGTCTAGGGCCCAAATAGGAAAAGGCCGAGGGAAGGTCCAGCGCCTAATTCGGCCATTCACGAAGGAACGGCTAGTGAGGGCCCAAGTGGTGACGAGGCACTAAAAGACGTCGCGGGCGTACCTCGGGGAACGAGTACGAGGAGTCGAAGTCTGACAGGGTGTCAGAACGAGCTATAAATAAGAGAGAACCGCCACATTTAAGAAGGGGCCATTTTTCACTCACTCTCTCTCTCTCTAGTAAACCTTTCTTCTCTCTACATTTCACTCTCTCTCTCTCTAATTACTCGTCTGATTTCTACTTACCATTCCCCAGAATACTCATTTAAGCATTGGAGAGCGTCCCCGGGCTCCGCCTCGGGACCTTTTCTTGCAGGAGACGGAAGCTCTCAAACTGAAGGATTCCCCCTCGTCTTAAGGAGTTAGTGGATTTCTCGCTGACCTCATCGAAACCGCCTGGCACTTTCTAGGCTCAAACAATTTGGCGCCCACCGTGGGGCCAGTTGAGACGTCTACTTCTTCTTGAGATGGCGGGGGATTCCATCACTCCCATGAAGGAGGTGATTGAACGGAGCACACTTCGAGGTTTGTCGCCAAATATTGAGGAGGAGTTAGAGCTGGAAGACCGAGTGAAGAGTCAGGGGGAGCAGATCACACAGATGCGGGGAAGTATAAGTCAAATACTCTCCCTAATAAAGGAGAGTCTAAGGCGGGACGAGGAGCCGGGACCATCCGCGACGCCCAGAGATAAAGGGAAGAAGAAGGCGGTGGAGATAGAAGATTCAGAGGACGAAGAAGCTGAAGAGGGAAGGCAAGAGGCTGACTTGAGCTTCCTAGAGGAGCACCTCCAAACAAGCTTCGGGAAGGGAGATGGGAGGACCAAGGGTCCGAGTATATTGCACAATCCGCTTTCGAAGAAGTTGTTCCGAAATCCGGTTCCCCCGAACTTTTCGTCGTTGGGACTTCCGACTTACAATGGGGACATGGATCCAAACGACCACCTTAGTGCATTCACCATGAAGATGCAGTTGATCAATGCCACCGATGCCGACTTATGCAAGGCATTTCCCGTCACCTTTGGGGGACGGTGTAGGACATGGTACACCTCCCTCCCTGAAGGAATCATAGACAACTTCGAGCAGTTCGCAACCCTCTTCACATCCAAGTTCGCATCTCAAATTCGGCGGCGTCTAACCGTCACGGCGCTGATCAACTGCACGCAAGGGGAGGGGGAAACCTTGACCCATTTCTACGATAGGTGGAATACCATCGCCTGTGAAATACAAGGCGTGACCCCAAATGTAGCGGCAGGAAGCCTGAGAATGGCGACGAAAAGCAAGGAGCTCCAAAGAGCGTTGATCAAGAAAGAACAAGACATAAAGACATGGCCAGATTTGGACAACTTGGTAAGGCGGGCAATCACGCTAGAAGACGCTTTAAACCCCGCCGATCGGGGAGGAAGGGGAAGAGAGGGGCGAAAGGGAAACAGATCTCCGCCTCGAAGAGGGCGGACACCGGAGCGGCACAATTATAAGGCGAAAGGGAAGGCAGTCGAAAACAAAAGGGAAGTTTACGCCACAGAGCGAAGCAAGGATGAGGCCCCACCTCGAAGGCAGCAGGAGGAAAGAACGCGTTATGAAGCCCAGAAACGGCCGGACGCCCCCGCGTTCAGAAGGTGGTGCGATTGGCACCAAAGAACTTCACACAACACCGCGGATTGTCGGGATTTTCTGTTGAGCCTCGCAAATCTTGCGCCCGGCGACCTACGAAGCAGGTTAGAAGCAAAGAGACAGGAAAGAGCCAGATCACCCCCCTTGAGGCGGTATAGAAGCAGGTCCCCAAGAAGACCACGGTCCGGGTCCCGAGGAAGAAGATCGAGGTCTCCCAGAAAGTCGCGGTCCAGGGACAGAAGGCAAAGGGGGAGGCTTCCGTCACCACCTGACGCGCCGCCCCCAAGGCGGCAACCCCGCATTGACGAAGATGACCTGGAAATAATCGCCATCTCTGGAGGAAGGAAGCGCCCCCGAAACCCTGAGAATGAGGCTCCATGCCTAACGTTGGCCAGCACCCACACCGCGGAAGTGGTGTTCCATGCGTCCGAGCTCGCCAACCCGGACGCCTCAGATGACCCGCTGGTTATATCCTTCCGCACGGGAAAGTACAAGGTCACCAAGACGCTTATCGATAACGGGAGCTCCGCCGACATTCTGTTCTTTTCGACCCTCAAGAGTATGAAGAAGGGGGTTGCAGACCTCAAGCCGTCCACAACACAGCTAGTAGGCTTCTCTGGTTCCAAGATAAAGGTCTTGGGCGTAGTCGTGCTGCGCGTGACAATCGGCGAGGGAAGTGTAACCAAGACCAAGGAAATGGAGTTTTACGTGGCGGACTGTCCGTCCGCGTACAATGCCATACTTGGGCGTAGCTTCTTAGCCACGTTCGGAGCTGTGGCATCCACATGTCATCAGAGGCTGAAGTTTACAGTGGGAAGCGGAGTGGGCTGCGTAAAGGGAAACACACAACAGGCTCGAGAGTGCTATCAAGCAACGATTAAGCAACTAGAAGTGGATTTGGTGGATACAAGAGGCGACCATCCAAGACCGGAGGCGTTAGAGGGGGATGTTGCAGTGCCCCTGATGGAGAGCGAGCCGGAAAAAACCGTGCGCATGTCCGCCCACCTAAATCCTGACCTGGCCGCAAGCATGCTACACCTCTTACGAGAGTTCTCCGATCTTTTCGCCTGGGGACCGGAAGATATGCCGGGTGTGCCACGCGAACTCGCAGAGCACCACCTCGCAGTGAAGCCGAACGCACGACCAATAAAACAGAAGCGAAGAAACATATCTGTCGAGAAGCAGATGGCATTGGAAGAGGAAATTCAAAAACTCCTCAAGGCGGGTTTCATTAAGGAGGTTCGGTATCCCACCTGGTTGGCCAACCCGGTTTTCGTAAAGAAGAGCTCAGGACTATGGCGCATGTGCGTCGACTTCACTAGCTTGAATAGCGCGTGCCCCAAAGACGCTTATCCCCTCCCAAGGATTGACCGACTCATCGATGCCACAGCCAATCACTCCATGTTAAGCTTCCTGGACATGTTTTCGGGTTATCACCAAATTAGCCTTGCAGAAGAAGATCAAGAAAAAACCGCCTTTATGACAGCCACCGGGAACTATTGCTGGGTAGTCATGCCTTTCGGCCTGAAGAATGCGGGTGCGACATACCAAAGGATGGTGGATGCGGTATTACGCAACCAGATAGGGCGGAACGTAGAGGCCTACGTGGATGACGTGCTGGTGAAGAGCAAAGAGGCGGGAACCCACTTACAGGACTTAAGAATAACCCGCCCGCGGCCCGCCCTGAGGGGCGCGGACTCGCTCATAACACGCCACCACGAAGGCAGAGCGAGATCCCACATAACGCGTCCCGGGACATGGGTTATTCATAAACGCTACCACGAAGCAGAATAACCCGCCCGCGGCCCGCCCTGAGGGGTGCGGACTCGCTCATAACACGCCACCACGAAGGCAGAGCGAGATCCCACATAACGCGTCCCGGGACATGGGTTATTCATACACGCTACCACGAAGCAGAATAACCCGCCCGCGGCCCGCCCTGAGGGGCGCGGACTCGCTCATAACACGCCACCACGAAGGCAGAGCGAGATCCCACATAACGCGTCCCGGGACATGGGTTATTCATACACGCTACCACGAAGCAGAATAACCCGCCCGCGGCCCGCCCTGAGGGGTGCGGACTCGCTCATAACACGCCACCGCGAAGGCAGAGCGAGATCCCACATAACGCGTCCCGGGACATGGGTTATTCATAAACGCTACCACGAAGCAGAATAACCCGCCCGCGGACCGCCCTGAGGGGCGAGGACTCGCTCATAACACGCCACCGCAAAGGCAGAGCGGAGTCCCCCATAACGCATCCCGGACATGGGTTATCCATAAATGCTACCACGAAGCAGTATAACACCTTGCAGGGGGGCGGACTCGCTTTTATCCGCCACCAAGAAGGGCACGTACGCATGCAAATCAGAATACACCGCCATGACGCCCCACAAAATAGGTGGAAATAAAAGGACAGCATAACGACATTCGATAAAAGGGAAAGGAAGAATTATGAAAAGCGAAGAGGCCGCATGAGAGCAGCCATTGTCAAGGAAACTGAAAAGTACTTAATACAGACGATTGTTCAAGGTCGAGGACATACTCGACCCAAAAAAGAAAAAGGTTAAACAGAATAGCTTAAGAGTTATCTACGCCACGGGAGCTCGCATCCTCATTCCCCGCATCCTCCGAGCCGACCACCCCCTCAGAATTGACGTCACCTTCAGCCTTTCCCCAGTCCACCACCGCATCCCACACGGCGTCTGTATCCCACGCCAGATATGGGTGCTCACGGCGGAACAGATGGCGGATGGCAGCAACCGTATCAGATATCGCCTTGGAGCGCTTGGCGTCGTCGATCTTGCGGAAGGCGGGAGATAGCAGATAGGACGCCACAGCTGACTTGGCTGCAAGTTCAACTTCAGTTTGGTGCCTGAGCACGCTTTCTGTTCGGTCCTTCTCCAATTCGCCCACACGCTCACGCAAGCGGGTTACTTCCGCCTCCAATCCCTCCTTGTCGGCCATCAGACTGTTCACCTTTTGGATTCCGCGAGATAGATCCGCACGGAGTTCCTTGGTGGTTGCAGCAAACTCCTTCTCCAACTCAGCCTTCACCTCCGCTCGCAATGCAGTGCGCCCCTTGATAGAGTCCGCCTCCAACTCTCCGATCCTTTTCCGCAGCTTCTCCGCCTCCACCTCCCCGCGCAAACTCGCCATATGGAGCTTCTCATTGGTCATCCCAATTTGGGACAAACCAACGCCAGCCTGCATGCAACTTAATTTTCCGTCGCGGCTACTACGAAAGAGGATAAGAGCGAAAAAAAAAATCGAAGTAAAAATGTACTTACCGCAAGAAGGAAACGGGCAGCGGTTCCCACCCAGTGCCTGCTGGAAGGATCTTCCACCTCCGTGTATTCGGGCGGGACGAGGAGCTTACCGGATAATTCATGAAGCATACGGCGAGCACAATCCTCTCGCAGGGAGGAGTAAGGAGAGAAGTCCACGGTCTCGGTCAACGATGTCGCCTTCGATTTCTTGCGGCCATCGTCGGGCTCACCCGCAGGACCTTCAGCAACCCGCTTCCCCGAATCTCGAGTTTTGCGGCCTGGTTCAGAGCTAGCTTGCACGGTCATTAACCCGCCCGCGCCGCTTGCCAGCGTGGTTTGCACAACAGGTGTGGGAGGCTTACTCAGTGGGACAATCGCCTTTGGAGGCGCAGAGCCGCTGGCAAGAGGTCCGGTCTTGGAAGCAACAAGTTTTCCCCGCCTTGGAGGCCTCGCCATCATCGCCACATTTCCAAAGTGCATGGCTGCAAAGAAAAGAGTCAGGAAAAAAGAATACAAAGTCAAGATATAAATGGAAGGCGTGACTATGATGCTACTGACCATCTCCAAAGAGCTCAACCAGTATTGACCTCACAGAATCGTTCCCCCCCAGCTTCAAGTTAAAGGGAGAGAAGTCAGCAAGTCGGGCGGCGTGATCCCTTTGCGAGTCCAATGTCCAAAGCTTGGCGTCCCAGTTCTCCTTTCGACCGTAGGCGTAACCCGTGCGAGGCTCCTTGTCACCCGAATACCATTGGGAAGTGGGCTTGGCATAGAAGAAGTCTTTAAACCAGGCCTTGTCAAGTTTGGGGGTTCCGGTTACAAAACCATATGCTTTATCCCGCCTACCGAATGACCAGACGTTGGAAACACGCCTAAGGCCGTATATAAAACGAAAGGCGGCAAAGGATGGTTCGACGCCGAGCCGCTTGCACGCCAACTTGTAAGCGCAGGCGTGGAAAATAATGGTGGGCGACAACCGACCAAGTGTACAGTTCAAGCACAGAAGCGTCTGAGTGATCAGGGGATCAAGGGGGAAGCGCAAACCCAACTTGAGCTGCTCTGTATATATGGTGATCCATCCCTTCGGGCAGGTGCCGGCTCGCGAGGTCGGAGAGGGGGCGGCATACTTCCAATCAGCAGGAAGCTGATGGTTCCTAAGGCGGGTTAAGACCGTGGTAGGCGTCAGTTTGCTGTATCTGTCAGGTCCTCGGTCGAATGCGCGAGCGGGGACTTCCCGTTTTCCCCACATATGCTCATGCAGGCGTATGTGGTAGGTGTTATCCGCCACTGCTGGATAACTCTGGTCCGACGAATCCTCCGAAAGATCAATGGAAGAGGAGGAAGCCCGCTCACGAGAATTTTGTTCATCGACACTCTCTTCATCAGAACTCACGCTCGCTATGGAGACGTCATCAAAACTTGCCAAGTTATCCCCCATGGCGGAAGCGTCTCCCCTAGGTGCTACATTTTCTACGCTCACACCCAAAGCAACATCGGTCAATTCATATGACCCATCCTCAAATCTACCCAACAAATATCGACCATCGTCGGACCAAGACCCACCGAAATCAAAATCTACCCCACTAAAATCCCAGTCAAGACCAAACGTACTAAAGTGCGATAAATCGTTCAAGGGAAGCATACCTTGAGCAGCGGCGGTTATTGGGTCCGTCACCGTGTCCGATGACTCCAGGTTGATAGCCAAAATTGGGGTTGCCGACGCGGCGGCGGCGGCGGCATTATCGGCGGGAACGGGATCGGCAACGACGGCGCCGGCGCCGCCCTTTCGCCGGCCGGGAGAGGATCCAGAGCCAGCAGAGGGCAGGGGGAGCGACGATCGATCTTCTCCGGTCATTATCACAATCACCAGGCAAATGCGGTCGAGAAGTAGTTGAGAAGGAGCAAGATTGGCTGCAACAATGGCGACGATGAACGGGGGAGATGGAAGAATAACCGACTGAAAAACGAGAGGATCAGAGCATCAAACAAGGGAGAAGAGAGAAAAATACCTTCAGATGATTCTCTGAGAGACTTTTAAATGAGGGCGCGATTTCCAGAAGCGACGGTTCGCTAACCCTAGAGAAGGGCTATATAGCGTAATCATATCAGCGAGGACCCCGGGGTCCGTGAAAACTCGTGTCGTCCGACACGTGGCGAAAGGACAGGATGGCCACAGGGCGGTTTTGCCCCCGATTGGACGCCCGGGGGGAGGCTTACCTGAGGCGGGTCCTTGATTTAGAGGGTGGTCCCGCCATGAGAACAAGAAACCAGCCGCCCAAATCCGGGGGCTTTACCCGCCTGCGGGACAAATGTTGGGCCAAAAGGGATCACCCTCTAAATCAAGGCCCATGAGTGTCTAGGGCCCAAATAGGAAAAGGCCGAGGGAAGGTCCAGCGCCTAATTCGGCCATTCACGAAGGAACGGCTAGTGAGGGCCCAAGTGGTGACGAGGCACTAAAAGACGTCGCGGGCGTACCTCGGGGAACGAGTACGAGGAGTCGAAGTCTGACAGGGTGTCAGAACGAGCTATAAATAAGAGAGAACCGCCACATTTAAGAAGGGGCCATTTTTCACTCACTCTCTCTCTCTCTAGTAAACCTTTCTTCTCTCTACATTTCACTCTCTCTCTCTCTAATTACTCGTCTGATTTCTACTTACCATTCCCCAGAATACTCATTTAAGCATTGGAGAGCGTCCCCGGGCTCCGCCTCGGGACCTTTTCTTGCAGGAGACGGAAGCTCTCAAACTGAAGGATTCCCCCTCGTCTTAAGGAGTTAGTGGATTTCTCGCTGACCTCATCGAAACCGCCTGGCACTTTCTAGGCTCAAACAAGAGAGACTATCAATAATCTCGAAAAACAAACACAAAGGTATGAAAAATGTTTTCTTTGTGTCCCTCCAACTAGTGGCTGCCAAGGTATGCCGGATCCAAACTTCTGAGTGGGACTCTTTGCAACTAGCAAACAACGGCCCGACCGCCCGACCAAGCCATGTCCTAGTGAAGGTCCGACCTTTGATTTGATTAAGCCATCAACCTTTGAACCGAGTAATGTAACATCTCGTCTCGTCTCGTCTCCGAGACTACCGGTCAAAAACTATCAACCTTACTTTCACAGTAACCAAACAACCAGGCAAGGACAACAACAACAAACTACAAGTAAAGCAAAAGCAAAAGAAAGCAGCACTTGAATCCTTCTCTTCTGTCTCTGCCGACTGCCCCTCATTTCTACCCGTTCCCTTCTCTACTCTGTTTCCTCTGCCTCTCTGTTTTTTTCCCCACTCCCACCAACCGAGGAAAAATCAAAAAAGAAGGAAGCTTTTTCTCACTGCTGAGCTCCCCGGCCGCCGGCGCCGGAGATGGGTATTCTCCACGACGACGTCGTAATCATCAGCCAGCCGGAGAAACCAGACGACCCCACCGTCATCACGGTCAACTGCCCGGACAAGACCGGGCTGGGCTGCGACCTCTGCCGCATCATTCTCTTCTTCGGCCTTAACATTGTCCGAGGAGGTACGAAAACAAACAAATAATCAGATTCAAACTTTTGCAGGGATTGTTTTATAAAATTTCTCGCCAATTAATCTTTTTTTTTTCTTCACTTCCACTCTCTTTCGCCGGCGGCGAAGATGTGTCGACGGATGGGAAGTGGTGCTACATAGTGTTTTGGGTGGTGGGAGAGAAATCGGCGGTTAGATGGTCGTTGTTGAAGAAGAGATTAATCGGAGCTTGCCCTTGTTGTTCTTCTGCTTCCGGGATTTCATATTACCGCGCTGAACTACAGCGCCCGCCCAAGCCGCCGGACGTGTTTCTCCTCAAGCTCTGCTGCTTTGACCGTGCAGGGCTTCTACACGGTGAGTAAATTCGGTTTAAAGATGATGTCTTTTCTTCTGGGTTGTGCTTGTTTTTGCTAGTTTTCAACTGGGTTTCTGTTGGGTGTTGAGGAATCACGGAGGAAAGAGAAGAAAGATGGAAGCTCTCATTTTTTACTTCTTATCAGAGTAACTGAAATGTTTGTGGTGGGATGATTTTGAAGGGAATCAGAATCATATGATTTCGTTCTTTTTTCACCCATGAAAGGGTTGAGTGAATCCTCAAAAGTGCTGATTTTTGTATGTGGGGTGGGGGGATTGCTGCAGATGTGACAGGGGTTCTCTGTGAGCTTGAGCTCACCATAAAGAAGGTGAAGGTCTCAACTACACCTGATGGCAAAGTGATGGACTTGTTCTTCATTACCGACACCAGGTATTTGCCCTAAGATTCCATGTCAAGAATAAGTTCATTTTGGAGGCTGAAGTTTGTACAAGAATTCATGGTATTATATGCATTCTGGTAGATGTTGCTTTCAGCAACATGAAAGGACATGACATATGAATTGAGTTTTAGTACTGAGGATTGGACCCTACAAGTTGAAATCTCTGTCCTTCACCTATGTTTATAAATGCGGCTGACTGACACTCTTACTTGCCTCTTTCAAAATTGAATGCACTTCAGTAGTACATCAGCATGAAATCCCCACCATGACAATGTTAAAATGGTACACTTTACATTCGGTCTTGTCATGTGATTCTTCTGGAAAACTCATCTGGAACTGGAATTATGCTGTCGAAAGATCTACTTGTCCGTCTGCTTCATAGGGTTTAGGTTTCATAATTGCAGCAAAAAGATTGTAGATTTCCATTGGTACGAGGCATCGAAAGAAACCATCTTTGTAAGCCAAGCTTTCTGCCAAATTCCTAGTACTGAACTTATGAGTCTGTTCTTGACCAGGGAGCTTCTACACACTAGCAAGAGAAGGGAGGATACATCTGATTGTCTCAAAGCTGCAATTGGGGAAGCTATGATAAGCTGCGACATCGAAATTGTCGGTCCAGAAATCACTGCATGTTCTCAGGAGTGTTCATTCCTTCCAAACTCCATAACAGATGGTCTCCTAATAGCAGATGATGATGATGAAGTTCCTAGTTCACTGACTTCAACTCCGGTTTCTGTCACCATGGACAACTCGCTGAGTCCGGGTCACACACTGGTACAAATCATGTGCAAAGATCACAAGGGCCTTCTATATGACATCATGAGAACTCTCAAAGATTACAGCATCCAGGTACAAGGAAAAATTTCGATCAATGGAAACAATCATTTAGTACAAATACGTGTTTGTTAAAGATTAGTTTGAATTTCAATGTAGTATGAGCAGTTTGGAATTTGGTGAATGGGGCTGAGTTTTCTTTTCACGTCTTCATGTTGAACAGATTTCGTATGGGAGGTTCACCACGAAGCAAGGAAGGAACAACTGCGAGATAGACCTATTCATCGTGCATTCCGATGGCAAGAAGATGGTCGATCCAAGCAAGCAGAAGGCGCTGGCCTCTCGTCTGGAGTCAGAGCTACGTCGCCCTCTCAGAGTAGCTCTCGTCAGTCGAGGTCCTGATGCCGAGCTGATAGTTGCAAACCCAGTCGAGCTATCTGGCAAAGGCCGGCCTCTCGTGTTCTATGACATCACCAAGGCTCTCAAGCAGCTCAGCACATGCATCTTTTCGGTACTGACCTCTAACCTCTATCGCTCTTTTTACTTAACTCTGTTCCAATTTGTTCCTTCCATGAGAAGCTATGTTCCTTCTGAAATCTGCAGGCCGAGATCAGGAGGCGAATGATTGGAGACCGCGAGTTCGAGGTGTACAGAGTGCTGCTGGACGAAGGGGAAGGATTGCTGGTTCCGAGAAGCAGAATTGAGGAGGGAGTTTGGAAGATGCTGATGGGTTGGGAGTGAGTGAGAACTGAAGCTTGACTGTTCAAATGATTCATACTCTTAACATGGCCGCCGGCTGCTGGCCGCCACGTGTCTTTGATGGGTTGGTGGGTTGTGGCAAAATGTAGATATGATGTGTAAAGTAACTAGGAGTATATATATGTGCAGCAGGAAGTTGTGTAATGTTGGGGCTTTTTGCATTCACAGAAGCAATATCCAATTGTAATTAAATCTCCTTTAATGTATCTCTCTGTCTCTGCTCATCAAGTTGCTTAGCTGGAGTTCCTATAGGGAAGAGCTTAGTTTCAGTGTGAACTTTGACATGACAACACTAGATGGATAAAACATCCTCTTTATCGTCGTGATGTCGATAATGTATTGTACCAACCGATCATATCGACTAAACCAAAAGAAGCAAATCGGATCAGTATGATCTTGTTACAAGTTTTCTTACTGTTTGCATAATTTATTTTGCTAATTTCATGAGTAAGATTTCACAAACATTTACAATCGATATGATCTAGACCGGCCCAACCCATTTACAAGAACCTCTGCGTTTATCTGTAAAGTATCTTACTGCAATTATACCCAGGAAGAGAGAATCTCTCTTAACTATAATGGAAGCACAGAAAGAGGAAACTTATTGGCTCAAGCTATGGAATGTTCATGCATGTAATTAGAGGAGAAAATCATGCAAGAGATCCAATTCCTTCTCTTTTTGCAAGTTACAGAACTTGGAAAATTTTCAAACCCTTTTTCGTTGACTCGTTGCTTAGATTCGGTTTAGTCAAATTCCCTTTCCTTAGTAGAAAAAGGCTAAATTCCAGCAATAAGCATTCAATGCAACTCATTCCATGGCTGGATTTCTTCTTCGACTTGCCATCAATCATCACCACTTACCATAATCTCAGCAACTCAATTACTATTATAGAGAAGACCAGAAAAGGAAACTCTGCCTATGTTCTATAAAACCAATCTTCTCCCCATTAGTCTTTCCATTCTTAGATCTAACAATCAGCAATGGCACTTTGGCGCAGAGAGGAAGCAGAGTTCTGGCTCGACCCGAGCTACCCGCGAATTTCTACTCAAGAAGCTCTCGACGAAGCATGGCGTTTGATGGGAGAGGAAGAAGAACAAGAAGAAGAAAGAAAGTCCATCGTTCATGTCAAGATAGATTCCAACTCTTCCTGCAATCCTTCGATCCTCTCGAAATCGAACTCGAAGGGATCGAAGATTCTCAGTGGCTTACAGAAGGTGGTTAGCTCTCTCTTGAGACTTGGTAGATCAAATAAATCAAGCAGCAAAGCTGCTTCTTCTTCATCATCTTCTTCATCAGGTTCTTCATATTCCCCTGCTGCTGAGAGTGACGAGTCCTTCACCTGTCAGGATTCGGGAGTAGCGAACGACCCAGCTTCATGCTTAGACGACGTCGTGCAGGAGGAAACGCAGCGTTTGGTACGTGATTCCGCCGCTTCTGCTTCCGCCTCCAGCTCCTCGACTAATACCTCGGATTCCAACACCGGGGAATCCTCATTCGAAGCGGATTCATCGTCTTCGTCAATGGCGGCGGCGGATTTTCTGGCTCTTGAGAAGACTCAAGGTGACGGGGCGACGGTGGTCTCGCCTCCTAGACCGGACTTGGTGATGATTGAGACTGACGAGCTAATTCTTCCCGTCTTCCCGGAGAAGACGGTGGCTCCGGCAGTTGGCGATGTGGAGCAGCCATCGTTGGCTGGTTTCGCGAAGAAGAGGAAGAAGAGGAAGGAACCCAAGCGAAGAAGGAGCACGACATTGCCAATAGCGTTATGTTTCCCGGTTCTATGGGTTTAATTAGCTAGGGGATAGAGGTAGCGATATTGAAATCATCTTAGGTATTGTAGTTAGTTCTTAAGTTCTTACACATGACTGATAGCTCTTGATGAATAGAGACATAGCTTATAACTTCTTAATTTTTTTACATTTCCGTTCAGGTGATTAATAACTTCTTAACAATAAGAAAAATAGCTCACAACTACATAGAGTCGGAGCTTAATGGCTCGCGATATTATTGAGATGCCGAAAAGATTGAATTTGTTGATGATGTTCATTTTCCTCCTGTTTGATATTGAGTGCAAAGTTCCACCTAATCACGTTTAGCCGTCTAGGCGACACGTAAGTCTCACCTTATCCCTTAGCCACGTTCTCGATACCTAACTAGCTATGAAACCCTTAGACGAGACTTTTTGAACCATGCACTTATAGATGAATAACAAAATGAAAAACAAAATAATAAACCTACGGTTATTTGAGAAACCGTAGACTTACTTCAAAGAGAACTAGATTGCTTAATAAAATGAGGCAAACTAGCATAAGTATGTCCAATTATCAATCAAAATAGTCAACTCCGCACTATTTGAGAATGAATAATACACGTCTAGGACAAATTGGGATAAATCAGATTGCACGAATCAAGTAAATTGAGCATCTTCAGTCCTGAACATCAAGTTAAACGTTTAAACCCCATTAAGGGCTCAAATTAGCCACCAACCATTACAAATACAAACTTACACACGTAAAAACCAATTACATCGATGACACTAAAGTAACAAGAATGACATGAGCTGAAAACTGTTAAACAAACCAATAGGGGAAATTTGTCGGCTATAACTATACATTCTCCAACGTGTTACAACTAGCATTTTGGTTGATGGTAAAATAGACTAAAGAAACCAAAGTAGAATGACTGAGCTTTGGTTCTTGTGTCATATATTTTGGTTTCAGAGCTTCCAGTAAATACCCAGTTTGTGCAAGACTCCTGAAACCACTGCCCAGAACGTGATCTGTGCAAATACCACGTACAACAAGGTTCCCACCCTCTCTGATTTCCACACGTCGTTGAACACGTGGTCTTGGATCCAGTACACCTGTCAAAATTTGCAAGCAAACACTAGATTGTTACAACTTCAAATCTTTAATATCACACGTCGGATATGTTCATGGCTAGGCTTTTTTACCAGGGTGTTGTCCGGTGACTTGTAGAACCAGCCATTGATGAAGCCTTCAAAGATGCCTTGAGCAGCCATTACGTAGACCAGCATGGCGTTCATCCCTATCCATTCCAGGAACAGGAACGGCATCCTCCACCCCCACATATCGATCTGCTCGAACGAAAATACGCAACAGAGAGATCAAAAGAAGCTTATTTTGGTCGACAACGAAGAATTCAAATGTGAGGATGGCAGCAAAAGGTATACCAGTATGTAGAATCCAGAGAATACGAGACCGGCAGCTCCACCGGTGAAGCAGACGTAGCTGAAGCTGTAGAGCTGTTTGTTCATCGGAATAGCTAGAAAATATCAACAATCAAGTGAGCCGATTGAGGCATTTTTACTTCGGTTCTTTGTTTTTCAGACGGAAGGAAGGAGGCTTACCATCGGTGAAGTGAAGAATGATGGCGATGATAAGCAGGCCGACAGCCATTGAAACCCATTGCTTGAGCCTCTTGGAATTCTCCTGCATTGCAGTTTGGTAGTCGCTAGTTTTAGAAATAGAAGAGGGAAAATGGTTGGTTCAAAAGAATGAGGAAGTAGAAGTTGTATGTTATCACCTTGAAATGGATCAAAACATGTCCATAATGAATGCCAATGGTCCCCGAGAGGATGGCAGAAATCGAACTGAGGGGAAATAAAAGATAGGAGCAGCCAGTCAGTTACTTCTTCGTCAAGTTTCATGGTTGAATGTTATATCAAACTTTGCATCTTAAACAGGGTGGATATGATAACTGACCTCAGCAAGCCTTCGGGTTCGAATGGGCCGTGGCACCAAGCAGGAGCATCATCCCGGAGATCGCCTGAGCTAGGAGCGCTGACAGTGCAAGCCTATTGAAGAAGAATCACACATGAGTCTTACGCGAATTCGAATGATTGCGTGAGACTAAAATTGGGTGCTGAATACAGCTGGAGAATTATCAGCGTACCTTGAGACGGCGCCATTCAGGACCACCATAGAGATGGTTAACACCCCAGACTGCTCGATCTACGTGTCCAACAGCATTGCAGGCTGGTCCTAAATGACCTCTCATTCCGCAGTTCACCTACAAATTACAGACAGAAGCCAACATTATTTGATATGAAGATCCTTCTAATTAGTGGTCGGAAATGGTCATTGATCCAAACATCGATTACGTCAGATCCGATTCAGGTTGACCGAATCGTTTCCCACCCCTACTTTTTAGTCAACTAACTCTAACTTTCAAGCTGAGCTAAGAATTGGGTAGTGCCAAACCGTATATCTCTTCTGTTCATCATGGTTCACGAAACTCCAGTCGGGAACATAGAGCGCAAATGTCGTGATCATGTAAATCAGGAAAGAAATGAACCCTCCAAGCCTGCAGTGAATTGCAGAGAAGATCAACATCAACTTCTGAAATAAGCCAATATGGTGAATGAATGTAGCTGAGCTTTAAGTTTGTTTTCTCACCACTGCCATCGGTATGCCGTGAAGATAGAGAAATGCCCAGGATTCAAGATCTTTTGTCTGTGCTTGATGGTGAACGTCTCTACCAGAGCCACAATCATGTATACCAACGCAATTCTCTGGAGAATGCCACACCATCTGATGAGCTTCATGTCTACTCCATAAGCGAGGTCACTTGGAGCGTGTGAATATCCTCCTGTAATTCATCAGGTTTTAGTTTACAGCATACTTATCAGACCTAACCCACAGATTGCAACTAGCCTTCATGTTCTCTATAAGTCTTACTCTATAGGCTGGGAGATTTGAGGTTATGAATGGAATATCACTACCTTGCAACAGAACTCCCCAAAAGAGAAGCTTCAATGTCCTTGAGAATATCCTCCTTACGGCGTCCCTCTTCTTAGGTACTCTCTGCAACATTGACATCAGAAATGTTAAGCAACTTTCAGCAGCTACATTATTACTGAACAAAAAGCAGAAGAGAAGATGGAGTGTGGGAATTGTGTACCTTTAGGGCCAGAGCTATTGCCATGCCAACAATGAAGAGGAAAAAAGGCATCACAAAGTCTGCCAATCTACAGCCATTCCATGGCGAATGATTAATCAGAGGGTATGCTTCTCCGGCATCATCTACCAGAATCATCAACTGCAGATAGATTCATGCAAACCTCTATCAGAAAACAAGCATGCCCTCCAGGTTTAGCAAGTAATGTTAGGTAATGATCTTTAGAACTGGAAATGTTAACCCAATCATTCTGACACTTACCACTACTGTTAGCCCTCTGAATACATCCAAAGTTGCAACCCTCTTGCTCTTCTGCTTTTCAGGTTGCTGCTCTTCTTTTTCTTCAGCTTCCGGGTGTTCAGAAACTTCATTCTGCTGCTTTTCTCCATTGCCAAGTGATTCCCTGTGGGCAAGCCCCTCTTCCAGATTCTTGGGATTCTCCATTGCTTCGTGGTAATGAGCTTTGGTATTGGCTACAAGAACGTTTTGTGGAGCTATATTAATAACACTGTCAAATAATATATGAGCCAGAGAACGTCCTTAGAAACAATGAAAGCCGGCTGATAAAACCATAAAGGACAAAAAAGATGATAATATGGCAGAGAGGCCAATCAAAAGGTCCTAGCGCTAGCAATAACCAGCTAACCAAACACAAGACAACTGTCCAATACAAATATTGGATACCGGTCAGCTGTCAAATTTACATCTTTTGTTTACCATGAATCTCTGATATGATAGGCTTCAAATGGGCTAAAACGATGCCGCGCGCAAAAATGGAAACTACTCTTGTTTTGTTCCTATAACTTGGATTTCGTCAGAACTTGGGAGTGGAGGGGAACCTTCCCGGCCATCCACGAAATCAATTTTCCCCCTCTGCAATGCGACAAGGTTATGGTAATAGACTATACCAGCAAAACATGATTACCGGATCATGTTGTTGTCGCTTTTCTAGTGAAACAGCCGATCGTAGTGAACTTAGTTTCTCTTTATTAAACCTGCCTAAACACTTATATTAAGGTTATTTGCCCTGACGGATCCGCTGCCGAAGTTCACGCCACCTCTACTAAGCATTTCTTTAGTATTAGTGTTTTGAGGAATTAGCTACGTTTGAATCTTTTCTTAACACATAAAGAACTGTACTAAATAAATGGTTATACAAAATCAGCTGGATGGATCGTCTAACCTAGTCCATGCATTTGTCAGTTTGTACCTCATTCTGAAGCAAGCTGAACCGGCGCAGCAAATGCCAGTTCCCTTTTCTGCCATAAAGCTTCTCTAACGCCAGCAACTTTTCAGTTTTGAACAATTCTTCAACTAGTCTTGCTTTAAACGCTTGGCGATTAAGAAGAAAATAAGAGCAAATTGCTGAGAAGAAACCTTCAGTACCCGGAAGAGATGCTGAAGAAACAGAAAGCTTCAACATGTCAATAGATCCTTCAGAGCCCTGCAAGAACAAGGCCATATATGGATAAGATCACAGGACTATTTTTTCAACTTTCAAGCAGAAAATGCGATGAACACCAATTTTGTCTCAAACTTATCTTGATTACGAGATTTTCCAAGGACGACCAATTTAGTATTGAGAATGTCATTTTCGCAGGTCGAAGAGGCTTGAATCAATCAAATGAATAGTACACACACAAACTGTTCAGATATGTTTATATTGAATCTGCTTCTGATTCCTCTCCAAACAGATAGGACCAAACGCATAGACCCATTTCTGAGCAAGATGTCAACTCTTTCCACACAGGCTTCCAACTTGCTCCCGAGAAATCGTCACTCATGGCTTGACTCTAACTAGCAGATAGCTCTCAGATGCAGCAAAGGAAATCCTATGAGCTCTAACCCTATCCTCGAACATGTATAGGACCCAACAATTACGAATTCATCATATAAACAGCAAACCATTTACCATTTTGAAGCCCCGCGAGAAGGGAAAAGAGAACCCCCCACCAATGGCTGATGAGGAGAGCTCACTTGTTGGAGGGAAATCAGAAGCTTCGGCTCTCAAGTCCTTTCCGGCAGATGGTTCATGGTATTCGCATCACTCCTAATCAGTTTCCAGCCCCATCGGATCCCTGGTTTCGAGAGTGAAAGTCGCCGGCCGTTCGTACGACGACGAAGCCACGAAGCAATTGGAACGATTAGGGCTCGTGAGGGAACCCGGGAAAGAGCTAAACTGTGCCGGAGCGAGCTGCTTCCGCTCGGCGCTTCTCATTATCGCGGCAGCCAGTTTTCTAGGTTTTCTCGTTTCGATCCTCCTGGTTTGGAGGACGAAGGAGTTTTACAAGAGCGGTGTGTACGCGAAGTTCAGAGGAGATCAAGAGGCTAAGGTAAGGCGTCGGGGAATGAAGCTGTACCGCCACGAAATCCGGTAGCTGATTCTTCGTCGGAGGCTGGGGAAACCGCCGCCGGCGATCTCAAGTAAATGACGGTACGAATGATCCCTGACCCTGAATACCGCGAAATTTGGAGTTGGGAAATGGGGCATATTTGAAGTGTTTTAATTTGCTTTGCTCCCGGACTTGGGCCTTTGTTTTATCTTAATTTTGGGCCGAGGAGCTAAAGAGCGTATTACTATGGGCTTCCAGTCGGGCCTCCTGAACGCAATAAGTTGGGCTTGGAACGGAGCAGTTATACAAGTTGGATATTTCACAACCAAAGCACAATTATGAATTTGAAATCAATTGAAATCCAAACCATAAAAAGGTTGATTGCAACCGATGTACCAGCAAGCACTATTTGAAGTTGAAGCCAGCAAAAGTCATATTAGCTCACAGATGGATCTTTTCCCTTTTTTTTTCCCTGCCAAAGCCACACCAATAATTAGCTGTAAAAACTTATCCATTTAGGTATTTTGGCCCAATGCGGTCCTCCACAATATTTGTTTTTAATTTTTGGCTAACTATAAAGGAAGCTATATTGTCCTTTTCATCACAAGTCAAAACAAAATTAATAACTAAGTTTTGAAGGTTTATTTTCAAAGAAACAAATATCTAACAACTAAATCACTAATTAAGAAGAAATAACCAGTTCAATAAAATGCATTAACTTAAGCCACTCCATGACTCCAAGTCAAATGTGTAAACTTTTGGATAACAAGAAAGCATATTTCTTCAATCCAAAAGCTAATATGACTCAATCACATATAAAATCATGAATTTCTCATACCATATCAAAAAATAGACAATCTTATCTATTTTAACATATGGTATGATCAATACACAACGCTGTAAAATTTGACATTTACTTTCGTAACTCTAATGGATTAGAAAAGCAATATATCTCACAATCATGCCTTTCCAATTTGTTACTATTATTATTTCTCATTTTGATTTATTCTCATTTTGTTCTCCCAAGTTTAAACATTTTTATTTTCTTTTCTCTCTCATTTCCTTAATTATCTCCAAGCACGCTGCCCACTCTCTATTTTCTCTCTCTTCTTCCCCTAAAATTATCAGTTTTTCTCCTCTCCCGCAACTTCTCTCTTCCCCCCTTTCCTTCCTTCCTTGTCGGATTAATCCAATCGGCCGCCGCCGTCGTCGTCCGATGCATATTAAACTGACCACCACCAAAGAATCTTCTCCGGCGATCGGTTCCAAATGACTGCTCATTCCGATTCGGGCACGCTCAATTTCCTCGGCTGCTCGATTGGAAACTCGGTACAATTGCTCCTTCAATCCTCCTTCTCTTAGATCCATAATCATATGTTCCCCCCTCTCGAGTTGGATCGTTCAGGTAGTTGATTGAATCTTAGAAACAAAAGAAGCTTGTTTCCCTTCCCCTTCATGGCGCCTCTAATCGGAGCTCGATAAACGGCCGTTGTTCCGATTACCGCCTGAGCTGAAAAGGGATTGGGGAAAGAAGGCTGCTTGCTCGCTCTCTTTCTGTTTTGGATACTAGGGTTAGGGCTGTATCTGTGGAGGGATGTTTAAGAAGATCATTAAAGGCGGGCGGAAGCCGTCGAAGTCGGACGACGGGTTCGGGAACACTGGGCACCACCGCACCGCGTCGGGAAATGTGGTGGTTAACCACGCTTCGCGGGGTGGCACCGGGGCGGCGGTGCCCGCGCCGGCTTCTCCGGCGATGTCGACTCCCCCGCCTATGCAATCCGTGGAGCCTCTCCCGCTCTTTCGGGACGTCCCCGTGTCGGAGCGGCATAATCTTTTCCTCCGGAAGCTCCAGGTTTGTTGCTTCCAGTTTGATTTTGGGGACACTTTGAGATCGGTGAGGGAGAAGGAAATCAAGAGGCAGACGCTGTTGGAGCTCGTGGATTTCCTTCAATCCGGGTCGGGCAAGATCAATGAGGTCTGCCAGGAAGAAATGATTAGGATGGTCTCTGTGAATATATTTCGAAGCTTGCCTCCCAATTCCCACGAGAGCACAGGGCAAGTGCCCGCTGATCCTGAAGAAGAGGAACCGTATTTGGAACCTTCCTGGCCTCATTTGCAGCTTGTTTATGAGCTCGTGTTGAGATATGTTGTCTCTTCAGATACAGATACCAAGGTTGCCAAAAGGTATATTGATCATTCATTCGTATTGAAATTGCTGGATTTGTTTGACACCGAGGATCCACGAGAGAGGGAGTATTTGAAAACCATCCTTCATAGGATATATGGGAAGTTCATGGTGCATCGGCCTTTTATTAGAAAGGCAATAAACAATATCTTCTACCGATTTATATACGAGACAGAGAGACACAGTGGGATAGGGGAGCTTCTTGAGATCTTGGGGAGTATCATAAATGGGTTTGCTCTGCCGATGAAGGAGGAGCATAAGTTATTCCTTGTCAGGGCACTTATACCACTACATAAACCGAAGGCTATATCTATATACCACCAGCAGCTTTCTTATTGCATTACTCAGTTTGTTGAGAAGGATTACAAACTAGCAGATACGGTTATAAGGGGTTTATTGAAGTATTGGCCAGTGATCAATTGCCAGAAGGAAGTTCTTTTCCTAGGAGAACTCGAAGAAGTGCTAGAGGCAACTCAACCTGCAGAATTTCAGCGTTGCATGGTTCCTCTGTTCAGACAGATTGGTCATTGCTTGACTAGTTCACATTTTCAGGTTTGCTAATACTACTCTCTCTGGTAATTATCTGCATATGTTAGAATTATTTGGATTATAATCTTGGTAGATAAGGTCTTTTCCTTTGTGTGGTATGGGTTGGAGGAAAAACACATGGCTTGCGGTGGCATTGGTCATCTTTTGTTCTCTGCTGCTTAGTTGTGACATAAGCAAAGCTGCCTATTGTGTGCAATCCAAGTAGTAATTTCTTTGACATGGATGGGTGTCTAATTTTTCTCAACTCCCATCATAACGATGAAGTTTGAAACAATTGGGTCTAATATGGTTTAATTGCCTAATAGAAACGTGTGCCACTACCTAGTTTGTTCATTTTGGTAGATGCCAAATAACAACCTAGCACCAACTGGTCATGATATCTATGCGCCTAAGCCATGTGGCGTGAACTGACAGGCTAACTTCCTTTTTGGTATAACATGATTCTGATTTGGTCAGTTGTTCTATCTATTGAACTTTACATGGGCAATATATAAGTGTTTCCTGAATGATCTAGTTGTGGTCTTCCGTCTGTGAACAGTTAAATCTTCTTCTGCCTCCTTCTGCTCTTCTTGAGATTCCCATTGACAAAAGTGCTATGACATGATTAGATGATAAATATTGTGAGTCTCTACAAATGGCAACTGGGTGTAATGTTTCTTGTCGCCTTAACCTTCAATTTAAGGGCTCTTAAAACCGAGCTAAAGATGTTTCTACCATTATGTTAAGGCTGGTTAGAATATTTTTGCAGTCACTGGAAGTATCCAATGCACACTCTTCTGACTACTGAACAAGTACAGACGTATTTGTCCGTAAAGATTTCGCCTTTCCACTAAAGAACATTTCGGATATGTTTGTTCCAATGAGGGCCATGAAATATTTTTATATTTTAGTAGAATGGAATAAGTGTGTTTGCCAAGCTGATGAACTAGTTCTTGGCTGTAACTCATATGCTCGGAGTACACTGTGATTCTAGTTCATATCTGGGATTCTCTTACCTATTACTGAGCTCTCTTCACCTGTAGGCTATTTTTGATGGATGATTAGCCTTATACATGTCGAATAAAATGTTTTACCAAAGCTCAAAATTTTCTTTCTGCAGGTTGCAGAAAGAGCGCTGTTCTTGTGGAACAACGAGCACGTCGTGGGGCTAATCGCACAGAATCGTGGAGTGGTACTACCAATCCTCTTCGATGCCTTGGAGAAGAACATCCAGACACATTGGAATCAGGCTGTCCACGGGTTGACAGTCAACGTCCGGAAGATGTTCCTGGAGATGGACACCGAGTTGTTCGAGGAATGCCAGAGGCAGTACGAGGAGAAGGAGTCGAGGGCGAAGGAAGTGGAAGAGCAGCGGGAGATGACGTGGAAGAGACTCGCTGACGTGGCCGGTGAGCGAGACAACATGATCACTGCTTGACACGCCAGCAAAGGAAAATTCATCTCCTCCCCAGTCTCCAACCAGTAGGGAATGGAGGGAAGAAATGGGCGATTAATGGAAGTGCTCATCTCTACCCCCATTTTGATCATGCCCTATTCTTTTTTATTTTATTTTTTGCTCCCCCTTATTTTTGTTGATCTTCAATATCGATTTTTAAAAGATGTCAAATTACAAGAAAAGCAGCAGGAGCAGTAAAAATTGTAATTTTTAAAAGTGTTGTTTAGTAATATGCTTGCTGCTACATCCATCCAGAATCATATCTCCTGGGTGAGCTTTTGGAGTTCTTTCCCTATTTTATTTGGTTAGTTTTAGTTACTTATTTTTACTTCCAGATTTTATTTATTGGGGGGGTTTCTTTTTTTGACAGACTAGTAATTTTACTGAACTTTAACTCAGTTGTTTCCACTCATATATGTAATGTTGTTGCTCAATTTTTCTCTGGATCATGAGTGAATTTGCTTCTTTAGCTGTTGTTTGTTCATCTTGCTGACCCACAGTTAAAATATGAGTTCTTAAGGGTTAGAACTTGGAACGACCCTAGTATAGGCTGATTTTTATGTCATGTGGATGAAGCATCGATCAATCACATTGTTTACGGTGCGATTCTACTGAGCGGATGTAAAATGAAGTTCTTGCTCTTGGTTTTTATATACGAGAAGTCGAGAACATTGTGAAGACTTGATGGTTACTTTATTGAGATCATATTCGAGTTAAAGATGAAGTTTTTCAAACTAATTTAATTTGATATCTGCAGGACAACTTGTTTATTTTTATGTTTATTTTTGTGCCATAGAATAATTATTCCACTTTCCTTAATTCCTTTCATAGTCGAACAATTATTATCAAATTTCATCCACTAAAACAAAATCCATAACAATTTTCCTGGCGGCAGAAGTTTCGAAAGGAGAAGAAAAAAGGCCCCATCCATTCTTTCTTTTCTGTGGTAGTTCATTAGTACCGTTTGTTTTTATCCATTCATCTCCTTCTTTTCTCCGCTTCCATTCGCTCTTTAATCTCACCAACTAAAACCCATTTCAACGTTCCATTTCAAGCACCTGAAAGAAGAAGAGGCTGATTATGTCGAAGAAAGCAGGCGCGCCGGCGCCGTTGCAGAAAGACGCGCCATGGCGGGTAACAACCTCCAAACCGATTCCCAGAATCCACCACGCCCCTGTTCTCCGCGTCTCCCATAACCCCTACTCCGACTACGCCATTTCCGTCATGAAGGTACACAACAGTGGAAAAAAGCTCCCTCCATTGCCGCCGTTAACTTCAATGCTTCTTTCCTTGATTGCGGTGGCTAGGTGTTTGATTTTCCTTGTTTGTGCAGCATCCTAATCCAATCGGAAGTGGATTGGCAGATGATGCGATAGTGGAAGCAGCTGGCCCCGATTGCATTGTTCCGGGCCAGATTACCCCTGTTCGATTGCTTGGCGTGAAGGTCTGTGGAATTGGTTAATTGGGTTTCTCATTATTCGATCATATGAACTGTGTGTTTGAGCTGTCAAATTCTGGGAAATGATTCCTGTTGCTCCGAATTGAACAGGTGTGGCCTGTTGAAGTAGACTTGAAATTCCTGGAACCAGTGGGGCGGGAACTCAAGTTGCTTGGGAAGGTACTGCTTTACCACCATTGTTAAATGATTTCGGAGAAAGTTACTTGCTTTGGCTGCAATATGTCCAAATCTCCGATTGAGTATTTTGTAGTTGAATGGTGAAACTTGTGGTTGCAAATACTTGAGTCTTAAAATCTAATTTTCAAACTGAAAGTTATGCCCTTTGAGATCTAGCAATCACCCTGACTTTATGTAATAACCTTCCTGTATACTCTTTGTATCAACTTGGATGGCAATTAAGGTGGCTCTACCATAGTGGGCCATTTTGAGGGGAGCAAAGATAACTCCATTAATCCTCGTCTGTTGGCAATAGCTCTGGATGTTGTGGCCCCTATGGTAGTTGCTTTTACACATCTCGGTCACTTGTCTCCACTTCTGTCACTCAGTTCCCTTCTATGCATGTCGAAGGGAATCTGTAAAGTTAAATGTTTACTCGTGTCATCAGATCGAGAGAAGAACAAGAATGCTTAGGATGTGGTTTTATGATGGGCTGACTGGATAGTTGGGTTGTGATGACAGGAAGTCTTTTCTGTTTCCATGAAGCCACAAAATTTCTGATAAACCCATATTTCGTATACTTGGTACTATGTAGTATATCTGATGCCTTGTGCTTGATGTGGATATCACTAGGCATCATAATCCTTGAGTGCTGAATCATTAAATTTGTTTCTTCCCAGATTTGAGCATTTCCAATTTAGTACTTATTTTTGCTCTACTATCTCGTTGATTGATTGTGTTGCTAACTTGACCTTCAGTCACTATTGGACTTATATCATAAGCTATGTTGCAGTCATGTCGTTGTGTTCTGGATCTCACGGTTCATATATTGGATTGCTCATCATTGCAGTTCATGGACAATGCTGTTGACCTGATGAACAAATCCTTCATCGACCGCTAGTCTGTGGGAAAAGTAACCATTTGCTTGCAAGCTGCAGTTTTGATTCATTCCAATAGCAGAAGTGGGATAAAGCAGAGAGATTCTATAGATAAAGATGTAAACTTGTGATGTATTCTCATTCCTTACTAGTCCTAGTTATTAGAGCCTGATACCAAGAGTTACAGAATTGCTGGATGTCTCCAAAAATGGGCAGGAATTATTTCTCCCAATAAATACTGTCTCTGTGTCTCATGCCATATATAATACACCGCTTTAGAGAACTTATATACTCAGCCATTTCCTTATTGTGATGATATATCCTCTTTCCTTTGGATCAATGCACCTTTTCTCCAGCCTAATTATTCCTTTTGGTCTTCTTGATCACAAGCTACATAAACAAGGTAGCCTTTCTGTATTCTACTGGGTTTTCTCCCATTTTTATTGAAGTTAAGGACGATGGGTATGAGATGTGTTAAATGTTTGGTCACCAACTTCACACTTACAGAGTGCCTTCAGTGTTTGTTTATTCTGCAAATCAAGAAGAAAAGCTACAAGAAGATCTTAAGATAGAGATCCATTTTTAGCTACCTTCCAAAATCCTCATCTCAATCCCATTCCTCTTTCGCCCATTAAACAAAAAGCTTTTCTGAGTTTTCTCCTATCCTCTCTTTTACAGAACCAGTGACGTTAAGTTATAAGTGGAACTGCAGCATCTATGTAGCACAACTAGGAGCTTTTCAAGAGCCAAATATAGTGATGCATGAAAAGCCATTCCTTTTTATCCTTATTCTGCCATTTCATTTTTTCTCTTATGTACTTTATTAGTTTATCAACATTCGATCTCCAGCTAGGCTATGGTGGGTTCCCCACGAACACTAGTGTTTTCCCATGTCACAAGTTTCTGGTTTTCGTCACCCACCACAAGTTTTCACTTACTATAAAAGGGTGTAAAAACCTCTCTGCAATTCGGTGTGCAGAAGAAAAATAACAGCCAATGGAGCAAGGTGATAATAGCTTGAGGAAAGGGCCATGGCTAGAGGAAGAAGATGAACAACTAGCCAGGCTTGTGAATGTGTTTGGAGAAAGGAAATGGGACTCCATAGCTAGAATATCTGGTATATAAAGCTTGTTTCTTTGGTAATACTTCGATCATGATAAGATTGAAGAGCAGAGTGATCTCATGGGTTCTTTTGGTTTTGCTGCAGGTTTAAGAAGAAGTGGAAAGAGCTGCAGAATGAGATGGCTGAACTACCTTCGTCCCAACCTGAAACGTGGTTGTATTAGTCCAGAAGAGGAGCAGATCATCATCCAACTCCACAATCGATGGGGAAACAAGTAACTGTTAAAAGTTCCCATGGAAATCAGTTAAAAGAAATAATCCTTTTTCCTCCATTCTGTTCTGACTTTATCCTTGTTCATAACATGGTTAGGTGGTCGAGGATCGCTCGAAGCTTGCCAGGAAGAACAGATAATGAGATCAAGAACTACTGGAGGACCCATTTGAGCAAGAAGAATACACAATTACAAGAAGAAGGAAACTTTCAGTGTAACTCCAACGCAAGCCATAATCCTGAGCAGGATTTTCCTTACCAGACAGGGAATCCAAGCAGTAGCTGCAACTTGGCATACTGCGACATTGTTCAGAATGGCTCGGCAATGACAGGAGCAGACCAATATGATCTTTGGAGTTTGATGGAGTCGCCATACGAGACGAGATTGTATGATCACTGGATGTCTGAGATCAGTTGCGGTGAACAAGAAGAAGCCAAATTTGGAGGAGGTCGTAACTATGGATGGAACTACTCTGAAGTTGGTGAAAGTTGCATGATGGATTCTCTGTGGGATATGAGCTGAGGTTAATTAAGAGAGACTGATCTTGTTGATCTCTGAGTAGGAAGGACAATGAGAGAACTTGGATGCTGTCAAATCAGACTCTTGTTTTGAAAGCCTATGTATATAACTAACATGCAACTTCTTCATAAGAAAGTTTCTGTTCTCTTCTGTTTTAATTCTCCTGAAAACTAAGCTCATAAAGTACATGTCTGTCTTTTGTTTGTGAAGGATTAGTTTATGCCATGTGCCTTAGGATCATGTTGCCAAACGCAGTGAAGGAGGCATTTGACATGAGTTACAATGCATACAAGTAATTTAAATTACGTACACAACTATGAGTATGCACATACATTTTTTTAATGAAGGAGAATCCAAACATAGATGTTCAAAACCCAATAAACTCATCATGGCAGGAGATTCGGATATACATTCCTAGCATTGATCATAAATAATGTTTTCACATCGTGAAAATCAAACCGAAAACACACCATATCAATCTCATGTCTTACCATTTCTACTATTCCTATTTGGTTTACCACAAATATACTTCGACACATGTCTAAAATACACATTTATTCCATGCTAGACCAATACAAATCAATATCTTCACAAGTAAGCATACATGCTACAAAATTTGGTTTAACCTCTAACATATTGTTTTCTTCATTTCCAAGCATAGATACATTCACTATTAAACTTGTACATGTTAGAGATGTAAATACGTATACAATAAATGCATAACACACACGAGACATCAAACACCTTCGAGCCGAAATCAATTGAACCGAGCTTCCGAAACACACCGAAAGCCCCAAAGAAAAAGATTTTCTCATTCTAGATGTTTTGATAATCTCTCGAAACTATAACCCTACTCTCTCTCGATTGTCCTCGTTCCTCCCAATTCTCTTCACATTTCTTCCACATTCAAAACGATTGTATAAAAGGAACACCAAGCAAAACTCGATCATACTATTATTCTAAGCTAAGGCTTAAAAACAGTACACATGAGGAAAATGAAGTTGTAGGGTTTACTTTGGTCGAGCATCCGTCATCTCCTTGGAGAATGGATAATGTTGTTAAAACAAGCATGCAATTGGCTATAGATAGGGAGCTAAGGAATACCAAATTAACAAACCAAAAACTTGACTAAGTTAAGAGAACTGGAGCTGATGAGCAATGAGTTGAGGTCACAGCTAGTAGAATGACCTACCAGCTACTACCTCAGCCTTTCTTTCTTTGTCTTGTTCTTCTCTTTTGTGCTAACTCAAAACAGAAAGAAACTATTAAAATGTTTCTTTAATTGTTGTGAACATTTAAAATGTTTTGGTCACAAGTTGAATGTTGATAATAATGTATGGAAACTAACCCTTTTTGCCTTTGATATCCCATCCATAGAGCCAATCTTTTCTTGTTTGGTCCCTCCTTTCTCATTTTCATTTAAGTACAATATCCACATTTGGGCAATCCTTTTTCTAGAACAAAAAAGTGTTATTTTCCTTTCTTGGGTTGGAGACAACATATATACTATTTCTCTTATGCCATGCTTGGACCAATCTTCTTCAAAGATATGGTTGGATTTGCACATCTATTCATCCTCTTAAAGATTATGGAGGGTTACGTATTCTTTTGTGTTGTTCAAGAGGATGAATTTTGTATGATTAATAATGTGATGGTTGATGTTTGAAATGAGATGTTACAGATAATATTCTTTTATCAGTTACGTAATGAGGTTGCATCAAGTTCAAGTTCATAAATTTTCTTGTCAATCTCAAATCACACATTAAGATGGGTGTTGCTCTAGTGAATGACTCTAAACACTACTACCTAACTATTATAATTTTACTATGGACAGATAAACTTTACAAGTCTCCTAAATTGTTAAATTGAGATTGTAGAAAACACTTCCTAAAAAGAAATGGCTCATTATTATTTGTCCTTACACTCTATTTTAGAAGTAAAGGACATAATTGATGAGGCTTTGTTCTACAAGAACATCCACTACCTTATACCAACTTGGCTTGCCTTTTTTCTCACAAGTTGTTCAACTCTAACAAGTACCCTATTGTCATGATATGCCAAAGATTCATAAGATCTTCAAAAACCCATCATCCAAAATTCTTTAAAAATACCCAACAAGCATAAGAACACACTTCTTGATAGAGTTGGATCCAAGGAAAAATGTTAGATTGCAATGTTGCATAGAATTTTTTGGTCACCAAACATTATAGTACACTTGTTTTCTTTCCACAACATAATTGCAAAACAAGAAAGCAAAAAATGACTTCTAAATCTTCCTTGCTATAGCATAAAGGTCAAGCAAGAAATCGCCACAAATAAAGATAGAGACCTCAGGAGGATAGTCGGCGAAGACGGAAGGTCGCCGCCGGCATAGTCGTCGGAGTAGTCGTCGTTGTTTCCTAACCCGGGAGTTCCTCCGTTGGGCCCGGTCCCCCACTTCCCCAAATTGTTGTCCCTGTCCAAACCAAAACGTCATGAGGCCCAACCGAAATTTAACAGTAAGCCTACTACAGGCCCAGGCCCAAGCTCAAAATAATTTCTATCTTGTATACAAACCTGAGGTGCTTAACCGAAACCTAATGAATGAGAATTAAAGGGCCGAATTGTAAGACTAAATAACACAGACACGAAATTCGAGGAAAGAAAATGGGAAGGACCAAAAGAGTGGAAAAAGGGCGCGTGAATAATAATATAGCGGGACCGGCCGGGAAATCAGCAATCAGTTCAAAACAGGAAACCATCGACGAAAAATACCTGCCGCCGACCCCAAGAGCGCCGGCGTGGAACGTCAGTTGGCCGATGAGATCCACAGATTTCGGGTCCACACTGTAAGCCTTCTCATACTTCACTTCCAGTTCTTCTCCCGACGACACGAAGAAAGCTCCGTTCACCATCACGTCCCCTTCCGACCGCCAGTTCCAGTCCTTCCACTCGCCGTCGCCGGAATCTAGCCTCTTCGTCACCTGGGAATCCCCAATTCCACCCAAGTAAAGTAAAACCCCCCAAATTCCCAACTCCGATTTCGCCCCTATTGAACCCAATTTAAAACTTTTGGGTGCGTACCTGCTTCGCATTAGGGTTTGAAGGAGCGACGTAGCGATTCCCCTGGCTGTTAATCGTCGGGTGCCCACTCCCTCCAATGGCGTACATCTCCCACTCCGTGAAATCGTTGTTCACAACGTGAATGTACCCTCGCCGGCACCGGGGCATTCGCTGGACGAGCTGTTCGCCGAAGTGATTGAAAGCGATGGTGACCTGCATCCCGGAATCCGGCAAGTATTCGTCGCTGTGACCCAGCAGCATTACCTCGTTGTGGTGGGAGAAGAAGTTGTTGGAGATGGTGATTCCGGTGGAACCCATCACGGCGTCGATTAGCCCGTCGGTGCAGTGAGATAGAGTGCAGTGGTCAATCCAAATGTCCTTTGCGCCGAAGATTGAGATCCCGTCGCCGTCTGATTTGGTTCTGTAGCCGTAGTGCGTCGGACTCGACCTTACATTTGTGTTACCTGTGGAAACATGGGGAAAACAGAGGAAACACTTGAAAAATTGACGAACTAGAGCTGGAGCTATCACATTGTTAAATGGTACGGCCGTGTTTCTTGACTGACCTGAAGGAACACAATGGTGAATGTGGACGTTATGGATGATCACATTGCTGATATACTGCAAGGTAATGCATCCGCCGCCAGTTATGTGAACATTGGCGCCTCGGCCGTCGATGGTTTTGAAGCTGTTGAAGATGAGTTCTTGTTCCAGCTTGATGTGCATGTTGCTGGGGAACACAATCCAGAGCGGCTCCTCCCGAATCACGGCGTACCTTAAGGTTCCCGGTTTAGGGTTGACTGCATCGTCGTCGGAGGAGTCAGTGACTATGTAATAGTCGCCGTTCTTGCCTCCCATTGCGTACTGGCCGAAGCCAATGGCGCAATCAGCCAGCCGCTGGCGGTTGTTGGGCCAGTCCGGGTCGCATTTCCAGCAGTCGTCGATTGGGTTCCCGGTGAAGCAAAGGGGAGAGGAGGATTGGTCTCTCTGGGTAGTTTGGAGCATTTCCCTTCTAAAGACTGAAGCATTCACTCTCCTGCAAAGCATGAAGCGAACATTTTGAATAGAGGTAAACAGAGGACCATTGTGGTAAGAAGAAAAAGAAGAAACCAAAGGTGAAAACGTTTTGCTTTCTTCTGCATTTTGTTTCTTTTACCTTCTAACTTCTTGAGCTACGAATTCAGGGTCAGGGTGGGCAGATGGGAGAGTGAGGTTGAGCATTGCCCATGGGAGGTGTGGGAAGGAGCTAAGGAGCAAAACCAGAACAATGCTGGTGATTTGCAGCATTGTGTTAGGTTGGTGGTGAGTTATTGCTCCTTTGGCTTCCTTTCTTTTCCCACTTTAGTGTGGTTTGTGAGAGTGAAGAAAAAGATAGTGTGGGTTTTGAGTGAAAGAGTGGCTCTTTTATTGGGTGAGATAAAAAAGAGGTCTATGAAGCTAGCTGACTCCTCATTTCTTCGTTGCATGTTTAATCATGGGAAACCGGAACCTTTTTCATATTTCACTTAAACCAGAAGCCAGAACCAAAAAAGGAAGGGAAGATAGTGAGAGAGAGAGAGAGAGAGAGAGAGCTTCCACTAGAGAGAAGGGAATCAGGCCCATCTCGAGGAAAATGGTCTGCTGCTAGTGCTAGTGTTCACTCATGAAGCTCAGCTGGACATTTCAGTAATTTCATGTCGAACTTACCATCCATTCTGAAAATGGCTCGAATTCTTTACCTCTCAAAGTGCTTTCCAATGGAGGATTTATGGGTATCCTCAAAAGTCAACAATCATCATCCAAAAGGGCAAGTTTGAATTTCATTGCTCCTTGCTGGGCCTATCTCTCTCTGTTTTCTTTCGTCTTCTCCATGAATTGTTATCATTGATTCCATTAAACAGTTTCTTGTAGAATTTATTATGCAACATGGATATGATATTAATGTGATCCCACATTCCAATACAGGTAACAGTACTCCTCAAACATCTCTGTTGCGGTTTGGAGACAAAAGTCCGCACTGATTCAGGAAGCCATATTGATTGGCTCGTGGAGCTGAGCTGAGTGGCTCGGTTCTGGTTTGCGGGTTTCATGGTTGGTTCTTGTATCAGTTTTTCGTTTAGCTCTCCTTTCCATAAAGAAAGACGTGGAAATGGGGACAAGGAGTGCCATTAAAAAATGAAGGGGAAAATATCTGCGCTGCTATGCCAATGCTAACAGCAGGTAATGGAAGAAAAACCCTTTAGCTCTCTTTTGGACACTCTTTATTGGTCCTTCCCCTGCTTTTCTTCTACTAGCCCCTGTTTTTGGGGTCCTGGGTAATGCCTGAATCTCTGCCTCTCTCTTCGTGGATTCCCTTTCTACACAAATATCATAGTAGAAGAAGAGAGCTTCTCACTTCTCAGTTCTCAGTTCTCATTTCTCAGTTCTCACCTTCTTCCTGGTTCTTTTCCATGCCCTATGTAAAGTGACTGGTCACACTTTCAACCAGAAAAGAAAGATAGTTTGATTAATAGGGTCCATATAATCATGTATGGATAATGCAAGTTGGAGGGGTATAATTCATAAAGCAGGAAGAAGAAAAACTTGCCCTCTGTGTATTATCCTACAAGGGTTTTGATTGAGACATGATCATTTTTAAAGGGTTCTTTTGAATTTGGGGCTCACTAAAGCAAGTACAGAGACCAAATTTATAGTATATTCCTTCCCTCTGTAGTGTGCCAAGGAATTAGTTTTAGGATAAGCTATATAACAGATATCTGTTGTGCCATTGTTGCAGGAAATCCATCAACTATTTTCTCTTTGGAAGTGGAGTGCTTGCTGTTGGGTCCAGCTCCTGAAAGGTTGAGGAATTTGATCAGATGGGGATGGAGCTTTTCTTCTGTGAATGTTGTAGGCGGAGACATGTAGGGTCCAAACATTAGAGTAATCTATGGTTGGTTGGTGAGTTGGATTTAGCCTATGAGCACAAAATTTGTTTGCAGGGGTGAAAAAAAAGGAGGTACTTTGAAGTACCTCATTTGAGTATTCAAAGGGTAAATTGCATAGTTTGGTCACTGAACTAGTGAACTATACCAATCCTCGAACCATGGGTGGCAAGTCTGGGAAGTGTCCATGTTTTCCCACACCTACCTACCACTTGGCCGAAGGAGGATTGATGAGCTTCACTTACCTCGGTTATCATACATAAATTAATATACATCAAATTACTAGTGTTTCCATGGGAAGTTCAATCACTCTCAAGTAAACATACATTGTATAGTTGAAGGCATGAAAATAGCGGGAAAAGGAAGGTATTTTAAAATACCTCTTTTGGTTGTGAATGGCTAATTACACTGAACCGTGGTGGCAAAGCAATGAGAATCACTACAATGGGTAAATGCTACATTTGGTCATGGAGATTATTAAATCATGTTATGTTTAGTCACTAGAAAAAATTAATATAAATTTTGGTCACTTGAATAACTGAAACATGTCACATTTAGTCACTCTCCCGTTAGTTTCCGTCCAACTCCATTAACGAAGTTGGACGGAGAATAACGGAGAGTGACTAAATGTGACATGTTTCAGTAATTCGAGTGACATTCATAAAAAAAGTAATTTGAGTGACCGGAGTTTGACGGAGGCGAACGGGAGAGTGACTAAATGTGACATGTTTTAGTAATTCGAGTGACCAAAATTGATATTAATTTTTTCAAGTGACTAAACATAACACGATTTAGTAATTCCAATGACCAAATGTGGCATTTACCCCTTCTACAATGCCTTCCACTAGGCCAATAGAGAATTTGTAATCACTAATGTCTTGAAATTTCTACATGTTGGTCAAATTATAACTGGAAATCCAATCACGTGCTAAATTCTAATAGGAGATACTCGAGCATGATTTACAAACTAGAAAATACTAAATAACATATGCTCTAATATTGGTAATAGAGAAACATGATATGAATATTGTGAGATTATCGATGGTCAAATAAAATATATAAAGTTTAAATTGTACTATTGAGAAATATATAATCAAATAAACAAGAATATAACTTATTTCTTACTAATAAACGAAATAATATGATACATCGTAATACATTATTGGAAAGTTGATCATCTTCTACGTTGTGTTAGACAAATAAGACACCAATATAAGATGCTAGGGCATTGATTGTGCACGCCCTTGATCAAAGCAATAATGCCTCATTAAGAGCACGAGTAATAAAAAGAGATCATGGTAGCTTGTAAGTAGCAAGCTAGTTAACTTGCATCATACCAGGGCTCTAACTTACTGAAGTTAATGTGGAGAAGAGTTTGTAACCGTTTCAAAACTCATGTTATGATTCAAGGTTCCAAATTATTTACCAACCATTAATTTGAAAGGCGACGATTCTATATAAAAGTAAAGTATCAAAGTATTTGTTCGTATTACATTATCATATATCACGATGACGAAGTGATATTATCCAACATATATATAAAGTATAACCTAACCAACCTCCAGGTTAGTTTATGGTATCAACAAAAGACAAGTTTTGTGTACTTTTATGCGGTAATGTTAGTTTCTTCCCCTCCATCCTTTGGGAACACGAACCCTCCATGCCACTGACCTTGTTGGACTTCTCGTCACTCACCACTCCCAACTCCCCCATGGAAGAGAAGAGGTAGTTAATTCTAGTTTTTTTACCGTTAATCCGAGCCTCTATGTGAATACTTTATGGAGAGCCGTTTCCATTTTTATGGGGCCAATAAAGACACTCCCTTTGGAATCTATCAAAAATGACCCGGAATAAATTCGTCCAAATCGTTCACTCAATGGACTTAATCATCGTTGAAGAATAGACTCAGAAAGAATTCGTGATCTGTAGCCTTCAAAATCCAAAGAAAATGGCCTTTCGTCGTCCTAAAAATTACGAAAATGTCATTCAAAAATAAATTTGCCAAAATCGGTGCTTAATAGACTTATCATCCATGGAGAATAGGATCAATAGACATCATTATCGGTGGGAATAGCCACGGCCTGATTCTGTGATCTGCAACTTCCAGAATCCAAAGAAAATTGCATTTCGACAAAATCGCCTAAATCTGTGATGGTACCCCTTTGGAATCTGCCAAAAATGGACCCGGAATAAATTCGCCCAAATCGGCGCTTAATTGACTTAATCATCGTTGAAGAGCAGACTCAGTCCGAATCCATGATCTGTAGCCTTCAAAATCCAAAGAAAATGGGCTTTTGTCGCACAAAAAATTAAGAAAATGGCATCCGAAAATAAATTGGCCCAAATCGGTGCTTAATGGACTTATCATCCGTGGAGAATAGGATCAATAGACTTCATTATTGATGGAGAATAGCCTCGACCTGATTCCGTGATCTGCAGCCTCCAGAATCGAAAGAAAATGACATTTCGAAAAAATTGTCCGAAATCTGTGATAGTACCCCTTTGGAATCTGCCAAAAATAGACCCGGAATAAATTTGCCCAAATCGGCGCTTAATGGACTTAATCATCGTTGAAGAATAGCCTCAGGCCGAATCTGTGATCTGTAGCCTTCAAAATCCAAATAAAATGGCCTTTCGACACCATACGAAAATGCCATCCGAAAAATAACTGTCCCAAATCGGTGCTTAATGGACTTATCATCCGTGGAGAATGGGATCAATAGACTTCATTATCGGTGGAGAATATCCTCGGCGTGATTCCGTGATCTACTACCTCCAGAAACGAAAGAAAATGGCATTTCAGAAAAATCGCACGAAATCTGTGACGGTACCCCTTTGGAATCTGCCAAAAATGGACCCGGAATAAATTCGCCCAAATCGGCGATTAATGAACATAATCATCGTTGAAGAATAGACTCAGGCCGAATCCGTGATCTATAGCCTTCAAAATCCAATGAAAATGGCATTTCGCCGCCTAAAAAATTACAAAAATGTCATCCAAAAATTAAATTGGCCCAAATCGGTGCTTAATGGACTTATACTTCGTGGAGAATAGGATCACGCCGAATCCGTGATCCGTAGCCTTCAAAAATTGACCAGGAATAAATTCGCCCAAATTGGCTCTTAATAGACTTAATCATCGTTGAAGAATAGCCTATAGTCGAATCCGTGATATGTAGCCTTCAAAATCCAAAGAAAATGGCCTTTCGTCGCCTAAAAAAATTACGAAAATCCCATCTGAAAATAAATCGGCCTAAATCGGTGCTTAATGGCTTTATCATCCGTGGAGAATAGGATCAATAGACTTCATTATCGGTGGAGAATAGCCTCGGCCTGATTCCGTGATCTGCATCCTCCAGAATCGAAAGCAAATGGCATTTCGGAAAAATCGCCCGAAATCTGTGATGGTACCCCTTTGGAATCTGCCAAAAATTGACCCGGAATAAATTCGCCCAAATCAGCGCTCAATGGACTTAATCATCGTTGAAGATTAGCCTCAGGCCGAATCCGTGATCTGTAGCCTTCAAAATCCAAAGAAAGTGGCCTTTCGTCGCCTAATAAATTACGAAAATGCCATCTGAAAATAAATTGGCCTAAATCGATGCTTAATGGACTTATCATCCATGGAGAATAGGATTAATTGACTTCATTATCGATGGAGAATAGCCTCGGCCTGATTCCGTGATCTGCATCCTCTATAATCGAAAGAAAATGGCATTTAGAAAAAATCGTCCGAAATCTGTGATGGTACCCCTTTGGAATATGCCAAAAATGGACCCGGAATAAATTCGCCCAATTCAATGCTTAATGGACTTAATCATCGTTGAAAATTAGCCTCACGCCGAATCCGTGATCTGTAGCCTTCAAAATCCAAAGAAAATGGCCTTTCGTCGCTTCAAAAATTCCGAAATGCCATCTCAAATGAATTGGCCTAAATCGGTGCTTAATGGACTTATCATCCATGGAGAATATGTTCAATAAACTTCATTATCGATGGAGAATAGCCTCGGCCTGATTCCACGATCTGCAGCCTCCAGAGTCGAAGATAATGGCATTTCGGAAAAATCGCCCGAAATCTGTGATGGTACCCCTTTGGAATCTGGCAAAAATGGACCCAGAATAAATTCGCCCAAATTGGTGCTTAATAGACTTAATCATCGTTGAAGAATAGCCTATAGTAGAATCCGTGATCTGTAGCCTTCAAAATCCAAAGAAAATGGTCTTTCGTCTCCTAAAAATTACGAAAATGCCATCCGAAAATAATTGGCCTAAATCGGTGTTTAATGGACTTATCATCCGTGGAGAATAGGATCAATAGACTTCATCATCGGTGGAGAATAGCCTCAGCCTGATTCCGTGATCTGCATCCTCCAGAATCGAAAGAAAATGGTATTTCGGAAAAATCGCCTGAAATCTGTGATGGTGCCCCTTTGGAATCTGCCAAAAATTGACCAGGAATAAATGCGCCCAAATCGGCGCTTAATGGACTTAATCATCTTTGATGATTAGCCTCAGACCGAATCCGTGATCTGTAGCCTTCAAAATCCAAAGAAAATGGCCTTTCGTCGCCTAAAAAATTACGAAAATGCCATCTAAAAATAAATTGGCCCAAATCGGTGCTTAATGTACTTATCATCCGTGGAGAATAGGATCAATAGACTTCATCATCGGTGGAGAATAGTCTCAGCCTTATTCCGTGATCTGCATCCTCCAGAATCGAAATAAAATGGTATTTCGGAAAAATCGCCTGAAATCTGTGATGGTACCCCTTTGGAGTCTGCCAAAAATTGACCAGGAATAAATTCGCCCAAATTGGCGCTTAATAGACTTAATCATCGTTAAAGAATAGCCTATAGTAGAATCCGTGATCTGTAACCTTCAAAATCCAAAGAAAATGGCCTTTCGTCGCCTAAAAAAATTACGAAAATCCCATCTGAAAATAAATTGGCCTAAATCGGTGCTTAATGGCCTTATCATCCGTGGAGAATAGGATCAATAGACTTCATTATCGGTGG